TCTTGTCTTGTAAGAAAAGGGAAACTATCATTGAAACAGAATGACAGTAAATTTAAAGCCATAAAAAAATATTATTCATGGAATACTTAAGGATTCTGGTAGATCTCGTTGTGTTATAGTCCTATCTCATGCCTGGAATGGGATGGTTAAGCATTTTAGTGATCATTAACTACAGTTTAAATAAAGAAAGTTTTCAGGATATACTCACCTCATACTTCAAATCATAAGCAAGTGGATAGGAATTAATGCACTCCCTATCCTTAGCATAGCCTTGCGGATTTATATTATGTGTGCCATTATGTGGCATGGCTGACACTTCCTGAAAAATTGACTACACAGGGGTCTGTCAGTGTTCAGCCTTAGATCAGAAGTGCATTTTGAAATAAATTTTCCATGTTATCGTCACTTGCAATGGTTCACATGGGGGACAGTCTTGTAACAAATGAACTGAATTCCTTTTAGATTAAACTTAATTGGAAGTTCACTCTGTAGTTACTGGTGGGAATTCAGTCCACAGGACCAGACCTACAGCTAATTCGGAGTAAAATTATCTGAAAATGCTTGTGTGTAATCTCTTGAGTACTCACAGAGCCTGTGCTACCCTGTTACACATTACTTGCTAGTGCAAATACAGCTTATAGAAACTCATCTAGGCTTTAGGTTCTTACTCTTCCCAAGGGTGATTTCACTGATTTTTTGCTGAGGTACTGTATAGAGAAATTGGTACCAGGGAAGGGGGCCTGGAATGTGCAGTGTAACAAAAAAAACTATTTCTGTTTTTGTCTCATGAATTTCCAGAAATTGTTCCTTTATAGTTAACAATCTATGGTAATCTTTCCTGTGGTCTTACCTTGTTGAACCTTGAGTTGATGTAAAATTGTAGCATTTACAACATCCTTTAGCAAGAAATTCCTGAACTTAATCATATGCTGTGAGAAGAACTACATTTGCTTGTTCCAAACCTGTCACACATTAGGTCTTTTCCCTAATGCTTCATAGCTGTTGTGTTTGAAGGGATGGTAATTCAGAGTTCCCAACCCATGGCATCCGCACCATTCATGATGTTTAAGAATTCTTTTCTTTCTCTTGAAGACATGGGGGAAAAAAAAAAGGACAGTTTCATAGCTGTTAGCTATTTGTTAGCTGAGATCATCAGAGAAATCAGGATAATTTTTTTCTTTCTATAATATGACATAAAAATGCTCAGACCATGTGGTCCAGAATTGATTTCATAACTATGTGCAGTAATAGAATCTTAAGGAGAAATGAAAAGGAATCTTTCTAATATGCTTCCAGTTAGCAGTGGCTGAGGGGTTTTCTGAGACTGAGAACATATTTTGGACCATAATGCTAAACAAACACTATTTTTTTAACCTTTTGTGGTGTCCAAAGTGGGGTGTCTTCCACACAGATGCAGTGTGTGTCTACAGTGTCTTTGTCACTGTGTCCCTTTAAAGGCCTGTGGATTGATGCAGGACTGAATGTAAAGTTAAGAGTGAAATTTCTAGTGCTTGAAAGGCCATCCTAGTTCTTTGTTATTTTAGCAGAGATCACCATCCAAGTGCTTCTCTTGCAGTCTGTATTCAAGTTGTAATCATACCTGTCTCTCCTACAGTTATGCTGCATTAGGGTATCTCTAAGAGCACTAAAAAGAGAAAATCTTTTGTAGGAAAGTACTTGCAAAAAAAAATTATTAGTAGCCCTAACACTGATGTGAAAATGGTCTTTAATAATCAATAACTTCTGTGAATATAAATAAAACATATCAGAACTAGCAATCCCTATGTGCTGTCTTTGATGCACAGGTGTCTACGTTAATTTGTACTTTAATCTAGACTATTCAGACAGGTTGAATTACCAACACAAGCTGGTTTTGTGGCCATTCAGGCACACTTCTCCTACAAGTACATTTTTTCCGGTATGCACAACTGTTTATTTCTACTGGAGCAGCTCACAGCCTGGGGTTTCATGTGTTGTGGAGGGATTGGATGCTGGAGAATCAGTGCTAATCATATACTGTTAGCCTGATATACTGTTCTCAGAAAGGTGAAATTAATTTTCAGTCTCAAAATTTCTAATTTGGTGCAGAAGACCTCCTTTCATAATTGAAGACATCTGAAAGTCAGTGCTTCTTCTCATTCAGAGAAGGCAGAAAATATGATTTCTAGTGAAATATAGAGGGTTCCTATATTTCAGTCCAACAGTCCCTGCCAAATCTCCCTATGACTTACAGTGCACAGTTTATTTTATCAATTTTATCAATTAGTTTATTTGTGAAGCTAGCTTTCAAATAAATGCCATCTTACCTGAAACTTCTATCCTTAGGAAGAATTAGCTCAAATTTGTAAAGCAACTTGAGGAAGGAAAGTGGTGGTTTATTGTTACTTATCATTAATATGTTTTTATTGCTGTATAATTTTCTCTAATGACTCCCTAAAAGCCAAATGGCTTACTAAATAAATGAAAAATAATAAATAATAAATGATCCATCCAGAACCAGACAAGCTGCTCAGTCCATATGTTTAAAATGTACAGCTGATGGGCTGTGGAATTAATGTGCTGAATTTAGACTTTTATTTTTGGAGATTTTGGGAGAGAAAGGTTTTCCCATTGATGTTACGAAGCAGAAAAAACCAGAACACTTTGTGCCCATGAGAGACTGAAATAATTATTTTTTATTTTAATGCACTTTGGAACAAGGAGGAGTGAGATTTGTTAGAAACATTGTGAAGCACTAGAGTAAGTAAATGAGGAAAGAGTGTTTTGTCCAGTGTCAGACCTCTGTTCCAGCACTTGTATCACAGTTACTGCTCTTATGCTCACACTGAATGGCAGGCAAAATGTGACCAGCCAGAATTATCTGGCCAGCTTGTCTTTGTTAAGCCACTTACTACACTCCATTGCTAAACCTGAATATGCCAAATCACAATCATTATGGAAAACCTACTCTTTGAATTTCTCTGAATGTAAACCCTGAGGCATTAGGGGAAGGATTGAAACAAAACTGCAAATATCTAGTCAGAGGTGACACAAGCCTTTTCAGGAGTTGGTCTTGGTGATGAGGTCCATGTGGCAAACTGGTTTGAGTGCATGCTAGAGACACCTGTATATGAAGCTGCAAGATGTACTTCTGCATTCTGGGCAGGCAGGTAGAGCCTCCTCCTGTTCTGAGTAGCAATAGAATTGTTCTCAGCCACCATGTATAGACAGATTGTAGCTCAACACCTCACTTCAGAAGACCAAGGCATCTCTGCATGATTTTTTGGTGGTTTATTTAATTCTCCTTCTTGGTGCACTTGACCTTTTCATTTCATTGAGCACTAATAGGCTCATTTGTCCTGCAGGTTAAGAAGGACTTTAATAACAGAAGCAGTGAGGCAATGACCTGTTAGACATTACTAAATCAGCTTATAACTTTTTTTTTTTTGCATTGGGTCTTGGGCATTTTCCAGCATGTAGGAGATTTAGGTATTACTCAGCTTGTTGAAAAGAAAACTGGCTCACAGATTCATCACTTGGTAGAGAGATTGAATTAGAAAATTCTGGTTGGTGATGGGCTATTTACAGAGGTAGAGAGAGGATCGATGGAAGGCCATGAAAAAGGGATCCAACCAACTGCAAATCTGAAATCTAAGCAGTAAAGACAACTGACAAACTGTTCACTGAAATTGTAGACTTTCCATCTCTCCAGCCATCAACCCAAAAATTTTTTATCTCTGACTAAAATAACCTTTAACTCAGCTCAAAATTACAGACTGTATCTTATTGTTTGTTGCCCGTGTTGCATGCAGAAAGATATATATGACCCAATTGTCTTTTCCAGCCTTAGAATTTACAGCAAAGTCATATTGCATTCTACAGAATGAAACTCCTCTCTAGGAGAGTAAAAGTGCATTTTCTGGTTGGGATGGGTTTTTCTTGCCTTAAAAATGCAAAGAAATAATTTATTTTAATTGTGAGATCTGAATCAAGTCATACTGGATTTTTTTGGAGCTTACTGGAAAGATTTTAATCTGAGTGAGTTTAATAAAATTATAAACTTAATTACTTCATTTCCCTGTCATAACATTCCCAGAGAGACATTGTTAATTTTGTTCTGTTGTAAAACAAAGGTAATTCTGCTCTGTAGTAAAAAAGGAAAATTCAAATTCTTGTTTGTGTTTAGAACAAACAAGGCTGCAATGACAGAACACTTTGTTCAACAGAAAATCTGAAACTTTCAAGTCTGTAGAAATCCATAAAAAATTAAAATAGACATTTCTTCCCTATTTCTTCCATTGTTTTTAACTACAAAAAAAATTTAAGGAAAAGTGAAAAATGTGCAGAAATCCTTTTAAAAGAATTTTGTGAATATGCTCCAGTGGAAGAACCTTCTCCGTTACCTCCTGTAATTGTTTTATACCTCAAAATCTGCTAGCCTAGCACACTTACCTGGCTAGAGTGAGATATATAGATATATATAGAGATATTTACAGAGATATATACAGAGATATATATTTTCTTATAGTGAAGAAGAATTTAATGCCTTTTCCCCCCCCCCCGGTTGTTCTAGGGCTTTCAGCAGAAATTCTCCTTCCATAGTAAAGAAATTGTGGCCATCAGTTGTTCCTGGTGCAAGCTGGCGGTAAGTGGAAAACACTTCAGGAGACTGGGTTTAACTAGGAGTGATTGTGGGGGTTTTTTATTTGTTGGTTCAATGCTTTGGTTTGTCTTGGTGTTTTTTTTTTTTTTTTTTTTTTTTTTTTTTTTTTTTTTTTTTTTTTTTTTTTTTTTTTTTAAAAAAAAATGGTTTTGGGAAATAATTTTTTTTTCCTAAGAAGACATGGCTTAGGAAGATAATCTTTAGCTACATGTCCTAAATCTCCATACACTGAAGAACTTGAAGATGAAGGAGTTGGGAATATTGCTCCAGTTTTTGTACTGTCACTCTCTTCTTCTTCTCCAGACTTCCCCTTTGTCTTTCTTGACTCTACTCTTTCTCTCTCTTCCAGTTTCATAACAAAGTCACCTGTTTCATGCTACATCACATTGAGGAGCCATGTTCCCTGGGGGCTCATGCTGCTGTCATTGTGCCTCCCACCTGGATCATTAAGGTGAAGAAACCTCAGGTAACTGCATGCCGTCTGTTTCTGAAGCTGTCTGGCTGTGCAGGGCCTGTCTGGCTGTGCAGGGCCAGCCTGGCTTCTCTGCTTGGTCCTCCTTCACCAAGGCATGCTTGTTCAACCCTGCCTCTATCCCTCAAAACCAGCATACATCCATGGTGGCTATGAACCTGTATCCTCCTTCCCCTCCATCAAGTCCTTCAGTGAATTTCCCTGTTTGGGATGATCAGCAACAAACATGACTCGTTCTGAGCTAATTCAGCTCAGAGTTGTTCCTGTAACTGTGAGTTCAGCAAGCATACTGCAAGACATCCCCTGTGTGGTAGGCAGTCAAGCATGTTTCATTAAATAGAGCTGAGCAAATACAGGGAAAAACTTCACATTCACTTGAACTGCATTAAAAATTGGCTGTGTCTGGACTGGCATCCCTCTGAATTTGCCTTTAATGGACATGCAAAGAATCAGAACTTACTTGCACCAGTGCTTGTTCAGTCAGCAGTAAACAAACCCACACGCTCATTGTTGCACATAACAGGCACTGGAATTCAAAGCTTTTGTGATGGATGTGGTAGGTCTTGGAGAGGGTAATTCACTGCTGAACACAACAGGGAAAAAAAGTATCCAAAAGAGAGTTGGCCAGAAATTAAAAGGGGGCTCACATCATGCTAGAATAATTTTTTCTTTGAAAGCCTGTTTTTACTCCAACTTGAGCTGAAAGAAACAAACACTGAACATATCAGGGAGCCAGAAATGCTGGTTAATTTTTTTATTTCAGAATAATATTCTTTATTTCAGCCCATCCTTGGGAAGTGACCTGGGCTTTTTGACTCTGCCTCCTGGCTGTCAAGAAGAAGCTAAGAAGTTCAGGCTGTAGCCAAGGCACTAAGACAAAAGTAGTCCATGAAACCAGAAAAAGGCCTAAATTGTGACACTGCCTTTAGTTCTAGTTTAGGGATGTGACAGATTTGGGCATGAGTAGGAAGCTGGTTGTTAAAGACAAGGGGCAGAGGAAATACATGGATAGAGTTACCAAAAAATCACCAAAGAAGCTTCTGTTTCTCCTTTAGGTCAAGAGAGAGCATTGCAATATTCCTAGCCACCTCCACTCTGAGAAAAAAAGGTTTTTTCGCCATTTTTAGATTTTCCCCACACTCTTTCCTCTGTTTTACTCAGTCTCCTCCAGAGAAATACTTTTTTCTCTTTTGTTGAGGAATGTTTGAGTCCTTGGCAGGGACTTAATATCCTTGGCTAATTTTCAGCAACTGTGTGTATTTGACAGATGTATCCATGTTTGACCTTACTAAAAAAAGATTTTCTTCAATTATTTAAATTTTTATTTTACTTAATTTTTATTAAAAAAGGAAAAAAAAAAAAAAACCAACAAACCACCAAACAAAAAAACCCAATAAACCCTGATGTGTAATTTTCTTTTGATTTGGTTTTTGCCCAAAGTAGGGTATATCTTCCTTATAATATTTGTAGAGAATTTCCTTTCTTGTCCATTTTTAAAAAACTTTAAATTAAAAAATTAGTCGAATCTAGATAATTATAATTTATGGAAAAAATATTTTTTAAATAAAGTCTTAAAATGTTAAGCCAAAAGAAAGTAGCTGTTAGCTTTGTGTGCCTAAGTCATGAGCACAGAGAAAGTACTTGATTATTAACTTGCAATCACATCTCTAATCCTTGAAATTCATGGTCAGTAGCATGCAAAACCTTATCTTGAGTACCTGGAGCATTAAATAGATCAAAATTGTATTTAACACAGACAATGGGTGCATTTCCATGAGGCTTCCTAATAACTCCTGTTGGAGTTATGGGTAATGCATCCTTATTACTTTAGAATATAGTGATGCATCTTTTGAATGTGTTTTCAGATTTTTTGGCAGAAGTCTAGTTTTCTTATTTATTGTTTTCTTAGGAAATATTTTTCCTCCCCTGCTGTTTCTGGCCAGCTGTACTTCTATTATTATGATCCTCTTCACCCTATAGAAATGTTTGGTAAACACTATGAATTATTCACATCACTTGATCCAGAGAGTACAAACACAATGTTTAGAAATTGTTGTAATTTCAATTAAAAAAAAGAATGTGTAACCAACACAATGTGTTTTTCACATATTTCACAGTCAGAATAAATATCGCTAGAAGCTTTTTGGGTGTAAAATATTTCCTCAGCTCTAATTAACTACTTACATTGGTCACAGACAACTCCTAAACTAAATTCCCCATTCATATAAGATTGATTTTAGTGGTGCCTGCATCCTGTTTGTTTGTGGTTTCCTTGAAGTAAATAAGATGGCGTTTTGTAGCAAAACCTTGCTCTGTTTTACAATTTTTTATTTTTTGACTGCCACAAAAATGGTTTTCCATGCTTATTTTGTACAACGTGGGTCACCACCTTTCAAATATTAGGCTTGCATGAAGACCATACTCTGTGTCTTGTTACCAAAAATGTTGGGCTAGTGAAGCATCATGGTGTAATTGGTTAAGAACAAATTTATGCTGACATCTATGGTCTAAATGGGGAGCTTTTGCTTCTTATAAGCTGATTTAAAGATGAAGAATATTCAGAATGGTTCAACCATGGCAGCCCTGTGTGTAATGACCCCCCTACATGAATGGAAAACTCCAAAACCTCTTCCATCTTATCTGTAATGTGAGCTACTTCTGTAACTTTTCTACTGATTTCCAGTATTTCTGTATTGTTGGCAGTGCTTTGATACCAGCTCTGTTTTCCTGGGGTTCAAAACAATTCCATCTCCTAGTTTGTGAAGCAGGTCTCCCTTGTTGACTGGTGGTATTTCGTTATAGGTGAGGTTTGATAGGCAAGGTGATGTTAGCTCTGGCAGTGAACTTGCTATATGCTTGTGTTGTGGGAGAAAAGTAGATGATAAGGAGGATCTGACTGATGGATTTACTGATTTAGTCTGTCTTCTGTTTGGGAAGACAAAGGCAGTAACTGTAAAATTCTAAGGTTTTTCTGTTCAAGGTGAATAAATTGGTGTTTTCTTCTCCTCCTTTGAGGACTGTGAACTAGTTCTAGTGAATACTTACATTTCTGGGCTTATTTCCATATTTCCTCAATTGCTGAGTGCAGCTGGCTTGTCTGATAGTGGTTTGGGAACAACCAGAAGATGGTCGAGATTGACCTTCCCAGATGCTGTTTGTTGTTAGAGTAATTTGAAAATCAGTATGCTAAAAGCCTTTGAAAACTGCGGATGAAATGTTGTAAAGGAAAAGGTTGAAAGGTTTCATAGGATTTGTCTGAGGTAGTCTATGGCCTTCACACCATCCCACACCATACAAGAAGGACTCCAATTACTCTCTTCATCTACCTAAGCTTTCTGAGAGCTATACTGACCATTCAATAATATGAAAAATCTCTTTTTGAAGATGGACAAACTGATATCCACAAAGGAGAGGTTTCCTCTCTAGAGGGAAGTTAGAATTTACTTATTGTGCCCATTTAAAGCTATGCTTTGCTATCAGATAGCTTGCTAAATAACAGTTTGTTTACAAACTTTCTGTGAACAAGGTATGATTTATCCATTTCTTCACTTCAGTGTGCAAAGACTGCTGATACTCTGCTGCATGTTTTCAGAAAACCCCTGCTTATGTCTAAGCAGCTTTCTGTGGTTCATCTGCTACGGGCACAAGGTTGCAATTACTTCAGCAAAGCTTCAGGTTCTGTTAATACTATAGGTGTAGGCATGTTTGAAAAAAAAAAAAAAAGAGGTGAAATAGCATTGTAGAGATGCAGCATTTAGTTCCTTTTTAAGGATGGAAATGAAAACGGTTTTACTGTGAATGGAAACTTAGCCTTAAACTGTTTCTTTAATATAGCTGTATGCCTTTTCCCACCCCACTGTTAGGTACATTATAGTGGGATTTAATGACAACTACATTTAAGCATTCTTTAAGTTATTCTTTTATAATTATTCAGGGTTTTACTGAGATGTCTTTGGCATGCATGTGAGCTTTCAGCACACTGCTAACAAGAGTGTGCATAGACAAGATCTCCTCGCTGACCTGTGTTAAGGGAGAATCCTTCAGGGAATGCCTGAGGAGCTGGGCTAAGGCCCCCATGGGAGACAGCTTTGAATGTAATGCCCCCATAACTTTCTGTTGGCATCAAGATTTTGCCTGCAGTCAATGTGACTACTGAGGTAGGGCAGCACAAGACCGTGTGGATGGGATTGCTGATGCACTTGGTAGTCAGTGCAGTCTTTATGGTTTATCATGCTTTCAAGATCACTTTGTATCAGCGTAGGGAAGACTGTGAACTTAAGAACACTTCTTTAGGTAGTTTCTCAAAATATGGCCAAAAAGGGCAAATTTCTGAAATTGGTCTATAGAGCTGTCTTGTCTTCAGTATTTTCAGTAAGCAATAAGGCATGACAATTTAACTTAGGACCTTGTGCTCTATGGCAGGCTTCTCTTGGTCTGTGTGATAGAGGGCAATGCCTTTAGGTATTTCAGTTAGATAGCTGTTAGTTTTTCTTCTCAGGGATGTGGAGCGTTAACTTGTGCATCTGGCATGTCATACTCAAGTCTTGAAATTCTAAAAGTGGTTGATGTGTATTAAACAAAACTTAGTAGCTATTCCTCTTAATGATGGATAGTGAGCAGGATTAAAACATCACTTTTTACAGATTTGATGATCTCTGCTTGTTTAGTGGTACACATCTGATCAAGGTCAGGACAGAAAAGAACTTTCAGATGAGCTGAGTGAATCTTGCTTTCCCTCTTATATCCAGGAAAAAAAAAAATCAATGAACTTTGTTCTAATTCCTCATGCTACTTTATTTCCTGGTGATGGTTAGACTAGAAGTTGAAATACTGCAAAAATATTTGGAGTATTTCCCATAAGACAAAATTTCAATTATGGAAATGGTTAGGATTTCCTGTGGGTATAACTTCAATTAGTGAATTAAAATAAATTTTAAAAACCCCCCCAAATTTCCCCTTTTTACGGTTCTTATCACACCAGAACACCTTTTTGTTCCATGTCATAGAGCAGACTGTCATCTGCCTGGAGAATAGCCTTAATGTAAGTTCTACTTTAATAGGTTCTGCAGAAATACAAGCACTTGTACATTTTCCTACGTAGTTAAGTGATATTATTATTTAAAAACAAACAAAAAAATCAGCCAACAAACACCTTCTCCACTTAAATCCTTAAAAATAAGCAATTCAGTTTGTTCCTTAGCAGATGATTGCACAAGTTTCTTGATAGGCTGGAAATGACTCTATGGTGCCAGCATCATATGCCATGGTGGCCTACTTTATGTTGAGTCATAATGGTTGCCAGAGCTAAAACTTTTTGTTTTCTTTCCTTTAAAAAAAAAAAAAAAAGCAAACAAAAAAACCTGAAAAATATCTTATTTATCATGTTTTTTTATTACATCTTTATGCAGGTGGTCTCCATACCAGGAGACGAGCCTGATTGGGCAGGAGACTGGAGCCCCGAAGGGGAAATGGGCGTCTCCTACCCCTTTTGGGAGGGTTGGCAGGTACAACATGTGGTGTTATGTGAGTCTATGGGAGCATCTGATCTTTTTTCCCCCCTCACAGCGTGGGAAAGTTTCCGGTTCCAAAGCACCAGTCTGGTCTCCGTGTGTGGCTTTCTCCATAAACGGTGGTGTGGAAGTGTAAAGCATGCAGCGCATGTAATTTAAATCTCGAGCATGTGCCAGATACTCTTATCATTCTCCAAGTGGACATGCATGGAAGAGCTTCGTAAAGGGGCTCTGTCTGGGCCTGTCTTCTAAATTTTGTTTCGCTTTTCATGTATTCTTTTTCCTTTCGATGTAGAACTCCTTAAAGACTTCAACAAGGCGAAAGAAGAGAACATCCTTTAAAAGAAAAGCCAGCAAAAGAGGAAATGAAGTAGGTACTCAAGTGCTTTGGAAATCATGCTCCTTTTGTTTAAATGTCTAAACACAGACTTAAAAGTTTTTTGGGCTTTTTTTCCCCTTTATTTCACTGGAATGTCTAATGCATTTTTCCCCTGGGAAATTCCATGATATTGAATTTGTTGTTAGAAGAGATAAAACTCATATGAAAAGTTTTATTTTCTGAGTTGATTTTTTTCAAGAAACGATGTACCATGCTCCAGAAGGACCAGCACCCTAAAGAAAGTGTGTTCCCTTTGGATGTAAGAGATTTAGCTCACACCCTTTTTTTCCACTAAGGAGAACAGGGATGTGAAACTGGGGTTGTGAAACCCATGGTAAGTGCACTGATGCAAGGCTGTGGTCTGATCTGATCCGTTTTTGTATGTCTTCTTCAGGGGATCTCATATTAAAATTGGACCACAGAGAGAGACAGCAGTTTATTGATCTATTGGTGTATTTACTATGTGCCTATAGAAGAACTTGCTTCCATGTCCTTCCTAGTGGATTAATTATCTAGCCAAGTAGTCTCATGAGAGAGGTGGAGGGAGACTCACCCCTGCATAGACAGGGCTCTCTGGTTCAAGTTCTTTCTTTCATGGTGGGAGAACTGCAGACCAGAAACTGGAATCTGTGTCTCTGAAAGCCCAGGACAGTGCCCTCATTACTGGGTTCTAGGGTGTCCTGCAGGGGCTAAGGAGTAGGGAGGCAAATAATTTTCCCAAGGATGTTGGATCTGTGGCATTTGTTTAGAGGTGGGAAGGTGGTAAGGCCAAGAATTTGAGAGCAGATTATCTGCAAATAAGTGCTTATGCTACTTGTCTGTTAGATGGAATTCATGGAAAAAATAACTTATCTCATTCTATTTTACTTTGAAAAAACTGTTTGTATTAGAAATAACACTGTCTCTGACACATTATTAGTGTTGTGTGAATAATTGTGGGGAATAGGGTCAGAAATAACCTCAAAAGAATTTTGAAATAATTGTAAGCTACCCTGAAATGATATTTTCCCCCTCTTATTTTATTCTGTTGTCTCAGCTGGATAAATTGCTCTCAACTGGGCACCACATTGACATGGCTGTACTATTTCCAGTACCTGAGGTAGTTTTGTCAGAGCTAGGTTGGGTCTTCTGTGTGTTCTATGCCACAGAAACTTACATCCTTTGCATTGAAGCTGTTTATTGCTTCTGTTTCTCAGGATAACAAAGGCCGGCCTTTTGTGATAAAACCTATCTCCTCTCCTCTCATGAAACCACTGCTGGTTTTTGTCAATCCAAAAAGTGGAGGGAATCAGGTAAGAGTATCAGCTGGGTCTGGATTGTGAAGTTTAAGTTTAACAGCAGGGTTTCTGCAAATGACTCTATTTCTTGGCCAGTCAGATAGAAAGGACTCTATGCCTGAAGAAACCTGAAGACCTTCCTTAGAAGAGGTCCTTGCTGTGGAATGGCCTTTCTACTTCAGTAGAGTTGGATGACTGGAATGGATATTTGAGTATTTGAGTGGTTGTACTCCTATCTTCAGGTTCTTGAAAGGAATCTAAAACGATACTTTGGAATTTTTCAGAAGATTTAATCTTTTCACAAAGAATTTAGGTTTCCAGTGAAGATTTTAGACTTTATCCAAAAAGTGGTTTAGCTTTGCTAGGAAAGGCTTGTTGAAATTTCTCAATGAGAAATGACATATCCCTATGGCATCTAAAAAAATCATCAGTGGTCTTGTACTGTACCACAGAGACCAAGCTGCAGTGGCTAAAATGCAGCAGATTTCTTACTTAGGATTCTTGGAATGAATGAATACTTACCCAAGTGAATATTTTCCTGGTTCTGCCACTTTTTGAATATCAAAGAATCGGAGTGCCTTTCAATAAACAGGGCCTTGTAATAGGAAAGATTGGTGTAAGATACAGCAAAGGCCTATAGGGCATGGAGAGTAGTATAGGCACTGCTCATTTTCTCCTCTGTTAGAATTACAGAGGATATCAAATGAAACTGTTTAGACTGATTCAAACAAAAGGAAAAAGCTGGTTCTTCTCTCAGTTTGCAGTTCAGTGAAAAACTCCTTGAATGTGGTGGATGCTAAACACATCTGGAGGAGATATTACACAGGCTGGAGCAGATATTTGGAAGTGAAAAACTGTGATGTCCTGTACCTCCCTCTGGTTCAAGAGTTCTATGAACTGCACACAACTTAGACTGAAAGAATATCTATGGCACACATCACATTTATTTTCTGTCTTCTTATACCTTTTCCTAGGTACTATGACTGCTATTCTTGGTTCGTCAGGGAAGGTGTCAGGCAGAAGAGCCATCCCTAGGAAGGGAGATCTATGGAAAATTCCTGATGTGTACCCTCAGGCCATGTCTGAAAGGCATTCTTGAATTAGAGTACAAGCTCAGCCCATAGAGTTCTTAGCTCTCTGCTACTAGTAAGAGATCCTGTTACTTTGTGTCTGGGCAGAACGTTGAAGGAAGGGATTTGAGTGGGAATATGAACCTTAGAGTTTGAGAAAACAGAAATTATACCTTTAGGTGGTGGGCTGGCCACACTACATAAAGTGAGGGACCATTGGGACAGTTGTACCCCACAAAGTCCTTGACTCCTGCTTCATTAGATGGTAGAGGTTACAATGATGAATGATCATTGTGGTGATAGTGGAGGCCACTGTCATTGCTTGGGCATTGAGCAGCACACTGTTCAATGCTGGAGATGGTGGAGACTTTGGCTACAACCTTGTTCAACTTCTTGCTGTCATGGATAGCTGAGAGTGAGGTGGGATAACTGAGGTTTCTTCTTGTTGCAGGTGATGAGAAGCAGGAGAACAGGTTGCTGTGGGAGATGAGCCCACAGTTGATCTGACCCCAATTGCCTGTTCTTACAGACCATTAGTGATCTGTGTTGTTGAAATTGGTCTATATGCCTGCATGTGCACCTCGTCCTGGATTGCTATTCTAGAGCAGTCATTTGCTATGCCACTTTCTAGTTTGTCTTCTTGTTTTGTGTTGGCTTTATAAAGCACAGAAAAAAAGAAAAGTGGTTGAGATACAGTGAATAATGCACACTATTTCAAATAATCGTTAAACTGCTCATAACTTCCCTTCCTTTGATTTTTCTCTCTTGCCAGGGCACCAAGGTTCTCCAAATGTTTATGTGGTATTTGAATCCACGACAGGTCTTTGATCTCTCTCAGGAAGGGCCAAGAGATGCGTAAGTAGTGGAGTCTTCATTGCTGTGCAGCGTATTTCTGGTCTGGTCAGGAAAACAGGAAAAGACCCAGCCTGGCTGGATTAGTGACTGTATGAGGTTTACATATCCAGGTTATGGTAGCAAGGGGAAGGGCTGCAGTGGGGGCTTTTGTGAGAAGAGGTCAGGAGCTGTCCCTCTGTCCAGACAGAGGCAGGTCCAGATGGCTCCAAGGCTCACTGAGGATCCCAATGCCTACCATTCCCTAATGAATGAGAATTCCAGTGGGGTGAGGCTGCCTCCAGACTGCCACACAACAGCACTGTGCAACTGTCCCTGCTCACTGACTAACTAACTCAGCTTAGCCAGACAGTATTGAAGAGCAAACCTCTTCCAAGGGAGAGAGTATCTCTCTTTAAAGGGCTGATTTTTGCTGCCAAGCGCTGAGAAACCATCCTTCTGTGGTACTTGACATGGGGATACTGGCTTTTCTTAACCATCTGTTCAGAACTGCTTTCACATTTTGTAAATATGTTTTGTATGTTTTTGTAAATAATATTGCTATAAATATTTTATAGTAATAATGCAAAATCAAATATTTGCCTGTAGAAGAGCAGTCCAAGTGTTTCCTATTCAAGGCACCCAAGCTTTTTATTTGCCTGCGGAAGCACCTGCACTGCTGTTCTCTTACAGCAGTGTTTAGAAGCTTTAAGTTAAACATACATTTTTCAGAGCTGTGTAATGGGGAAAAGGAGGGTTAGTTCCTCTAGTCACTCAGCTCTCTACATGTGAATGTCCCCACCTTCATTAGCAAATATTTCATGATGACATTGTATGAAGGGTGCAACTGAAGGAGCAGGACTTCAAAGGGTGCTTTTTTTGAACTCTCCTGTTGATACTTAGATCACATATCCAGAGAAAGAACTCCATTACATATTCTTGCCTTCTGTGGTGTTAAAATACAGTCACTCGTTGAAGAAGCTGTCACATTATACAAGACTCAGAAATGGTAGCTCAAAAAGTCAAGATGAAGAACACTAAATATTGTTTTAAAACCTCAGTTTAAATTTGTTTGCTTTAGGGTAAGAGAAAAATGAAAGATTTTGACCTCCCTAGAGGGAATATGAAAATCTGGGAAGATGCTAAACTGATCAAACACTTGCCTAACATGGAGGAAGGCCTCATTTCACATCCTAGTGGTTTCTCATTTCTACCTCTACTCATATTTTTAGTAATGAATATTTGAAAATGCTATAAGTGGTAGTTACACTGTCACTCAGCAAAATGCATTAAAAATGTCTACATTACTGTTCTTACATTTTTCTCCTTTTTCCCCCCTTTTCCTCCCTGGGCAGGCTGGAGCTGTACAGAAAAGTGCCGAACCTGCGGATCCTGGCATGTGGTGGGGATGGGACGGTAGGTGGCAGGGATATGGTAGTGCCATGGTCTTTGGCCAAATGATTAAACTCCTCACAATGGTGGGTTTCCCACCTCACCCTGCCTGCAGAGGCACAGAGAGACAACATATCTTACACTTGTGAAAACTAATATTTGTTTTTCAATTTTCTGTGTGGTCTGGCCTGTGAAGATATGAGGCCAGATGCTCATGTCCAAAACCCTCTTTCCTTTATGCATAAAGATTTTGTACAGGTTAAAAGGAATAAACACTAACTTTGCTGGTCTCCTCTCACTATGTACATTAGATCTGAGGGTTAACTTAGTGTCTGGGAGCCATTATGTCTTAGTTTCTGCTCCCTCCTGCTAGACCCTGGCAGATCCAGGTTCAGTACTTTTCTTTACAACACAATTTCTGTGCTCCTGGGTAAGTGAATGGGGTCAGGTCTTAAAAGGATTTATGCACCTTCATTTGGAGAAAAACTCTGCAGCTCATGGTCTGAAGGTCATGAGTGGTAATGGAGTTATTATAACTGCATTCTCTTTCCAGTACTTCAAAATATTTTAAATCTCAGTCTGTGCCACTGAGTGCTAATACAGTTGAAAAATTGACCTTTAATCTCTAGGGGCTCAGTTCCTCAACATGCATTTGATGGCAATTTTAGCAGTAAGTAGGGTAATGAAAATGCATTACTACTCACAAGATGCAGTGACTGGACAGAGCATATCTATGTAGATCTTTAGGGCATGGAGAGGTGGTTGTTTTATTTTGTAGAGAGCTTAATCCCCTCACAAAATTCACTTCGGCTTGAACTTTTTTTGGGTTCTTTTAAAACCCCAGGTGTAGGGATATTAATATCAATGTTTCCCCTGCAAGAATGAAGAAAAAAAATCAGTGATAAGAGCACTGCCTTGCTGGTATATGTGACAGCAAGACATGACTGTTACTGAATGATGAACTTAAGAAACATGAAAGGCAGTCCTTTAGCTGGAGACATCAGCTGAGAAGAAGTATTTCCATCTGTTTCTTTTCCATCTGAGGAAGGGGGGAAAAAGATTATTATTAAGATATTAAAAGAGAAAAGAATACAGCTACATTGAGTTGGACCATCCTATTTCCCTTTGCTGAACTGTGCGAGAGGTGGCAGCACCTTCTCATTAGTATGAGCAGCACTCCACTTCTACCTCTGCTGCTGCTCAGTTTGAAACAAATTAATATCTAGTTATTCCCAAAGCCATTATATCTAGAAATGAAAAATCTGGCTCAAATGGACTTAATGAATTTGCAACGAGACCAGATGTTACCTCTCATTACTGAGGTGAATCAGAACTTTATAGTAACTTTTCCATTGTCACTTCAGGGCAGAAGTGGAAAGCTTTGCTTTCAAAGCAGTCAGGAGCTTTCTGTTTACAAGGAAATGGTAGTATGTGTCATCTGGATTGTGCAAATAATGTACAAGGTTTAGAAGTGACCTCAAGTTAAATAGCAATGTAGTGCTTATAAATTGAAATTTGTTCATCAGTGAAAAGCATTTACAAAAGTGGTAGGTATTTTGATGTTTCCTGTATCAGTGGGAGGCTGAAGCACAGATGTGTGGATTAAGTCAGTGGTAATGACAAATGACCAACTTCTTTAAGAAGTCCTGGCCCTACTGATGTTATCTTGAATTTTTATTCTGTCTCCTGTTATCAATGCAGAAGTATAGATATTTTGAAAAAGAGAGGTTTACTTACCTCTGAAAATCCCTTTAAAGACCTCAGTATTTTTGGTGACATCCAAGGTCATGAGAGCTGTAAGTACTTGAAATGGCTGTTGTCAGACAATGAACTCAAGTAGGGGATTGCATCCCAGATGAATGCTTTAATAATTGGACAATTGGTTATGATAAATAGCTGTCTGATAAATGCCATTTGTGCAAAATTAAATTTATTTTGAAGAGACTTGGAGGAAGAAATACCCTAGAATACTAAATAGCATGGTGGTTTCTGTATTTATCAGACCACCTCCTCTGCAGTTCTTCAAACTCCAGCTATTTTTCCTGATGGCCGTGTTATGCTGGGTGCCTTTTGTGAAGCTACCCTGGTTTGGATTGAGAATATCTTTGAAATCACAGTAATATTATTGGAGCAAGAAAAATTCAATCCAGCTGTAGTCAGGATTTAGGTTTTCTGTCCTATTTAAAATCTCATATTTGCAGTAGAAACTGCATCTTTGAAGGCCAGCAACAGGAAAAAAATCTTCTGTTAATTTTTATTAATTCTTTATGTAAAAATGCAGCACAGGTTCTTCACTTTTTTTTCAAAGTGACAAGTAGTTTAAGGAAGGGTCCTTTGTTTTTGCAGCAAGAATTTCAGTCACCAAAAGTTTGATAACATCTTTAGCAACAATTCTTTCTTCCCTTTGAAAATTACCATTTAATGAAAACAAAATAGTTTACAGTAATTTGTTCCTTCTGGCTAGATTTCTATTTGAAAGCTTTATGTAGTCCAGAAGAAAGATAGAATAAATAGCTCTCTGAAATAACTAATAGCTTAGGATAGAAAAGAGACAGATTCACTGTTCCAATCCAAAGTCTCCAACCCTGAGCTGTAGTCTGCCTTTCAGTCTAGTCTTTTATTATTTTATTAGGTGCATATGTGTGTATATGTGTGTATATCTGTATATTGTATATATATATAGATATGATGCCTTGTACTGAGTGAAATAATTCAGCACAAAGGTCTCTTCTATGGGAGAGGGAGACTTGTGAACAAGTTCATGCTTGGCAGGACAAGTTCTGAGACACCATGCTGCTTTAATGTGTCTCTCATTTTCTTTCATAGCTGTTTGTCAAAGGTTGAGTTTCTTTTGACATAATGGTAATTAAAAAAAAAAATACCTTGAATTGTCCATATTATTCTTCATTCATTTTTAGATTTCTTTTACTTGATCTTCTCTGTAAAAAAGAATATGATATGATCAAAATATGTATTTTCCCTATAATATTCCTTAAGGTTCTCCTAATTTTTCTTTTTATAGGTGGGCTGGATCCTGTCCATCCTTGATGAGCTGCAACTCAGCCCCCCACCTCCTGTGGCTGTCCTTCCACTTGGCACTGGGAATGACCTTGCCCGCACCCTCAACTGGGGTGGGGTAAGGACTGGCTGGGGTACCTTTATGTGGGGGTTCTCAGCTTGCTGCTCAGATTTAGTTGTGTGGGGTGGAATTTCCTTTTGGCTAAAATAGCAGGCAGGGCTGTGTCCAAGGTCAGTTTCACTCTGGCAGAACGGTTTGCTTCAATCTGCAGTCTGGGATTTTGAATTACTTATGTTGTTGTTGCAATAAAAATGTACGTAGATGTATCTGGTATTTCAGGCCAAGTAACAAGAACAGTAAACAGGCTTCTAATTTAAGCATAATTTAAACTTTCTCTTTGTTTATCCTTTACTACAGCTCTGGGCTTATTCCAGGAAGGGCAGATATTTGAATTCCTCTCCTTATGGCCTTTGCCTGCCGTAGACTTGTGCACCTCAATAACTTATTAAAATGCTTGATCAAAAATTTATCGAGGGTTTTAGGCATGTGTGAAAGGAGGGAAGTCTGTAGGTAATTGGTAACTTGATTTCTTTTCATTACCCATGGCTGACACTCTGGTCACTCTGGTGTCAGGGTTACACAGATGAGCCAGTGTCTAAGATCCTGTGCCATGTAGAAGATGGAACCATTGTCCAGCTGGACCGTTGGAATCTCCAGGTTGAGCGCAACCCTGATTTGCCCCAGGATGAGCTGGAGGACGGGGCACGTAAGGTTAGAGCCTGCTTTTTCCCATGGAAACTACAGAATGCTTATGAACCACTTTGGGTTACACTTTAAGCAGCATGGATGGGGAGTTCTGCAACTTTTAAATTTTCTATTTGCATCTCTCCCTTTGATTCTTTTCATGTGTCAGTGATTCCAGAGTTGTTTGAAACACCTTGGCATTGAACATTTATGTCAAAGATTAAATCCTGGAAAAAAGTCCCTAGCATTTTATCAGAAAGGTCATTGTTGCTTTTCTCTAGTTGCAGGAAAACTGCCATCCATTCCCCAATTAGACAAAACTAAAAACTGGATGCAAAATTTAATTCCTTAGGATTTTGCTAATGGATACCAGCTGTTTCCTACTTTACAGTAAGGTGTGGGGTATTTTTGTATTTAACTTCTTTCTGTGTGGGTCTCCATGTAATCTCCACTAGTGTATCTTGGTTGTTGAAGAATGGGAAAATTTTTGCAAGGAAATTTCATGGTAATTTATCATTTGGACTGGAGATGTTGAAAATACTACAAAACTAAAAAAACTTCCCGATTCTGTGAACCATTTTCTTCTTCTCAGTGATAATTTCCAGCTTATCTATTGGATGCTACAGTTGCCTCTCTACAGCCCCGCTGGGTGTGTGAAACAATGAAGAGGCCAGATGTGTGCCTGCCTGCCTCATGCATCCTCAACAGGATTAGGGCTTTTTCTCTGGGACTTGGCTTGCTCCTGGTTATATATGGAGTGAGAAGAGCACAGCTGGAGCTTCATTTGCCATGCTGAGCTTGAAGAGCTAGCAAAACCTTTGAAAACCTTTTTGTTGGTGATATGTTAAGTGGTGCAGCCTTATGGGAAATCTAAATGACAACATAAGGAACCCTTTGATGTGTTAACAAAGACACACATATGATCATAAAGCACTGTAAGTCTATTCGTGTTCTTTGGGCTCTTGTATCCAATCATTTTCCACAAGCCATTACCAACCCTCAGAGCAACCTTCTGCTTACATTTCCCTGATATGTTCCACTTTGTTCTTAGTAGGTTTCCATGATGAGCCAAGTTTAAATAGTTAAAACCTGGTGTGTTGAGAAATGTTCCATTCACATTGTTTTAATGTCTCTTTATTATCTAATTACAGCTTCCCCTAAATGTCTTCAATAATTACTTCAGTCTTGGATTTGATGCACATGTTACGCTGGAGTTCCATGAATCCAGAGGTAATAAGAACATTTTATTTCCTTAGTCTTGTGGATGGGCAGTCATTTTATTAATTAGAAATAGAGTTAGATTTAACATCTGTTCTTATAATTCAGAAGTAAAGTTGGAACATAAAACCTTAAGATACATACAAGAAGAAAAATGATTGTGTTGTGAGTTTCCAAGGGACTTCATGATTAAGAAATGAAAAAAGTACTAAGAAGACTGTAATATACTGCAGGAAAAAGGCTGAGAGGGAAGCTTTACAAAGTGTTAGATCTTGTAAAGGAGATAATATATGTCAGGTGTGAGTGTGGAAGTGGAGGGAAGAGAAGAGCCACAAGACTGGAAGTGGCAGGAATATAATTGTGTTATTGAACAGAACAGCTGTTACCTATGGATCAGTATACCATACCCTGGACTTGGTACAGACACAGAGTTCTTTATGCAAGTTAAAGGGTTTAATGTCCACAGAAGTGTCAGGAATTTGAGCAGTTGTAGCACTTTGTCTGTCTCCTTGCCAGTGGCAATTATGCCACCCTGAACAGACTGACATGTGGCTTAAGGACTGATATCTACAGCTTTGAACTGATATGAACAGCTCTACTTATATGGTTTAGGCAGGTGTGCTTGTAGAAACAAACTTTGCTCAAGTGTATGCCTTCAGCTTTTGGTCATTACAGCTTCCTATGCAGGTATTTTTTTCTGAAACAGTCTTCCTCATAGTCACTGTCATACTATCAGAGTGTCATTTCAAGATGAAAAGATAGCACTCTAATGCCAGACTAAATAAAGAGCAGGATACATGATGGAATGAGCTAATGCATATTTTATGATGTTTAAGACTGCTTCAGGCTTTAGGAATAATAATGAGGGGCCACAAAAGGGCATAGGAATGAAATTATGACAGCTGTATGAATTTTTCTATGAGTGCATGTCACTTTGCATTGCTAATGTGACTGTGAATATACCATATAGATTAAATGCATGGCTACTTTCTCATTTAATGGAGGCATTATTTAATAATGAAGTCATGGAGCCCTATAAAGGATGAATGTTATTCCAGACATGCCAGGGTTTTAAAAATTTACATGGGTGAAAAAGCACTTGGCAGAGCAAGCTGTGTGTCTGAGTATGTATGGCCAGGAAAGCTTCTGTAGCACAAGTCTTCGCTGCTGATGTCATCCTTGTCTTCTCAAATGTTAAAATATATGAAGTGAATTCTATGTATTTTAGAAGAAGAAATCTTGTAGGAAAGCCTTGAAGGTGTTGCTGGTGTGTGGGTTGTATTGTTTTTCATGTGGAGTTGGGGTTGTTCTGCCTAGAGAGGAAAAGGTTCCTGGGAGCACTTATTATAGCCTTTCAGTACTTGAAGGGGATTTATAAGAAAAATGGGTCCTGTTTCAATAGGACAAGGGATAATGGCTCTAAGCAAAAATAGTGTAAATTTGGATTAGATATAAGGAAATAGTTTTTAACAATGAGGGTGGTAAAACACTGGCACAGGTTGCCCAGAGAAGTGGTGGGTGCCCCATCCCTGGAAACATTCGAAGCTGGATTGAATGAGGCTCTGAGCAACCTGATCTGTGAAGATCAGGTGAAGATGTCCCTGCCCATTGCAGGGAGTTGGGCTAGATGGGCTTTAAAGGCTCCTTCCAGCCCAAGGGATCCTGTGGCTTGGCAAATTAAGCAATGCGAAGCAGATTATGATTTTATATACCACAGATGATAATCCAGAGAAATTCTTAGCAATGGTAGCCAAGTGTTAAGTACTTTCACAACTACAGCATTCGTGCTCTTGAGGTAATTGGCCGCATACATTTGCTTATTTGGAACTATTGTAATCACATATAGTATTTAAAAAAATAATATCATGCCTGAAAACCAAAATAAGATAAATTGATATGAGCTCTCAGCCAATGGGACACTTTAAGCAGTAGATATTGGTCAGCTGTTATATTTAGAATAAGCAGTGATTGCAGTGTCTCAGAGGAACCTATATATTAATGTGGCCTTTTCCATGGCAACCTCTACACTTTTCTTGTGACTAATCAGATTGAGACTTGAGGGTTGGATCCAAGTCTGATGCATTTAGCTTTGCTTTTTTGGGAAGTGTTCTGGGCACTGTCTCTTTCCAACTTCCTCCACTGTTATCCCTATGCTTTGGTAGAGCATGGAAGATGCAATTTACTTTATCCCTGCTGACATGCTGTTTGATCTCTCAGCTGTGCAGGACTGTTCATCTGCAGGAAACTTCCCCACTGCACACAGATGGAGTATAACACATTCCATTTTTCTATTTCTGAGATGGTTTAGGAATGGTGAGGGTGGAGTGAGCCTTGGATATGCACTCAATAATTTACTTCTAATCAACTTAAGGCTCTATTTTACATCACAGAATCCTTTCTCCCTACCCGTGCTCGTCTGTGTTGGCAGAAGTAGGACTAGTAGGTAGAGGGACTGCTGAGTCCCTGACATCAGAAAGGTTCCTTTTCCTGTTCTAAACTGGGTCTTTAGTTAGGGGGAGTATTTGTCATAAGATCCATGTAAGGTCCTGTGCTGTGGTGCCTGCTGTCTGGAGCCATTGGGGATACTCACATGAGAGAATGTGCAGCACAGGCACTAAGCCTCCAGAAGCCTTCTGCTGCTTAGCATGGGGTGTTGAGACTCTCTGCAAAGAGCTGTGAGCTCAATAAGTGAGATGAGATTGACTTATGCAGTTAAATTCATTGTTTGAAGTAGAAGTGGCCCTGACTGATTTTGAGTCACCTGTGACACAGCAACAGACAGAGTAACTGAGCCAACAAGCAAATCAGAAACCTCAAACAGCTCATTCTTGCAAAATGGAGCCAAATTTTGTGAAATGTAGTGGCTTTCAAGAGACCTGGAAGTATTGTTTTAAGTGGTCATTTGAGAGGTAATTTGGATGTGTCCACACTAATTTGATGCTTTAGCCAGAAGGACTGCCTTGGTAGTTTGATGTTTTCACTAGAGAATCAATGAGCCAGGGTGAGTAGTTGGCACTAACACTGAACACAGGGTAAGAAAAGCTGCTTCTGGAATCTCTAGATGCCACAAACAAGGAAAGCAATTTCCAAGGAGGCTCAAGAATGAACTGTATTCTGGGAAATGTGCCTTATATTTGGAGATTAAGGGAACTCCATTTAGCTTATTGGAAAGAAGGTTAAGAGGCTATTTAATCACTGCCTATAAGTATTTACTCGAGGAGAAGATATTTGATAGTTGAAGGCTCTTTAGTCTGACAGGGAAGTATAACAAGATTTAGCAGCTGGCAGCTGAAGACTGAAAATTTCAAGATTGGAAACCGCCACATTTACATTAACAGTGAGAATAATTAACCATTAGAGCTACATTACTACTAGACTTAAAATTCTCCATCTCTTTTAGTCTAATCAAAATGAAACGGGTTTCTAAATAGGTTTTAGAGTAACCAATTCTCTTTTTCCTTTTTTTTTTTTTTAATTTTTCTGCAGAAATCTTTGGGTAAAAATGCCTATTCCTTAGTAACTCTTTAACACATCAGAATTTAGGGGCTATTTAATCTTGTAATTTACTAATGGTTTACTCCTGGTTCAAAACATGGGTTATTGTTTCATGAATTTCTAATAATTCTTACACATTTGTTCTCCATTGTTAGAAACAGAAGTATTAAAATTCTATTCTATCATAAGATGAATAGTCTGAGAGGTGTTAAATTAACTGATTAAATTCTTGTTACCTCTTTGCTCTATTTCCAATCTCTACAAGAAAAAGGAAGGATTCAATATCAGTGTTTGAAATCTGATAGTAGAGAAAGGCACAGATGGGGGACTCACACGGAAAACATATTTATGGTAATATTTTCTATGAGTGATACACTGAAAGCACTGTAGTGCTGGCAAGGAATGTGAAGGTATAATGAAGTCTACTTGTTTTATTAGGGTGTTCATACTTTTATTTTTCATCCTTTCACAGAAGCAAATCCAGAGAAATTCAACAGCCGATTTAGAAATAAAATGTTTTATGCTGGGGTAAGTAGGGATTTGTCTTACAGAATGATGTTAACTTAGTTGCTTGAATGTCTTCTTAATTACCTTCCCCCTCACTTTCTCACATCAGGAGCTCATGCCAGTTTATTCTGCCTGTCACAATTTCAAGTGCACTCATGCTGTTTCTGGCAGTGCCACACACAGGTGTCTGTAGAAAAGAGCCTGTGGTACTCTTATTATGCAGAGCTGGGCAGGTGAGAAAAGTGCCATTCCTTTGGACACAGTCCTGGTCATATCTTGGTCCCTCTGCTTCTGGCTCATAAGTTTCTCAAGGCACTGCTCTGCTTCTTTCAGGGCTTCAGAACTGCACTGATACTGACTTTCTTAGAGAAATTCCCAACTTTTTTGCCTTCATCTTTGTAGCTTTGAGGAGCAGTCTTGGTTGTAGGGTGGTGGTGAGTGCAGGACACAAATCAGATATTTGGAGTGATTAATGGCAGGTGAATATGCACATATAATTACCCATATAATGCCTCCTGTGCATTCAGGAGGCAAATGGACAACACTTCATTCTAAAGCCATTAAGAATAAACACTAGTTTGATGATGAACGACATATAATGTATTTCTAGATGAAAACACCCATGTCCCTTAAATATGGAAACAAGTTTGTAAGCAAGAATTTGTGCTTAATGGCTCAGGATACCATTGAACTTGGGGGTCCAAGGACTTTTTTTCAATTAAGCTCCCAAAAGCAGAAGTATCAAAATTTAAAACAATAAAATCAAATAAAAGTCTTCTGAGAGAGTAAGTTTGACCAAAGGAGGGCATTTTGGTAATTAGCTCTGTGGAGGGATAAGAACTGAGGAAAAAGAAAGAGTGGAAGTGCTGACAATTCCTTCACTGATTTCTGTTGCAGGCAGCCTTTACAGACTTTCTGCAAAGAAGCTCAAGAGATTTATCCAAACATGTTAAAGTTGTGGTGAGTATAAGAAATTGTGTCATAATATTGTGGGAAGGGGGTGGATGTGGAGGTTTGGAGAGAGAGTGAGGTAAGAGTTTAATGGCTCTGTTACTTTTCAGTTTTGAGCATGACATTTACAACACATTCCAAGGGAAGTCTTGGGAAAGTTGTTACAAAGCAGCAACACTTCTCTTGTCTGTGGCTCCATTCAGCAATTTCTCTGTGCTCTGTCACTTTGGCTTTGTAGTGTGATGGTACAGACCTGACTCCAAAGATCCAGGAGCTGAAGTTCCAGTGTATAGTGTTTTTAAACATACCCAGGTAAGCTCAAGACACATTCTTGAAGTTATGCAAGAAAAATAACAGTAGTTTTCAAAAGACACCTAACAGTTTTCCTATGCTGGGTGAATGTACAGGAAGCATTTTCTCACCTCACTGAGAGCTGGCTCCTTATAATGCTGTTAATGAGCTATGCAGAATGGCATCAGAGTTCAGGGTGCAGCAAAACCATTCCTTAGAAAGTTGAATATCCTGATACAATAGAAATGCTTAACAAACACACTTTGAAAAGCTGTGCATCTAACCTGCAAATAAGTTATTAAAGGGAGAGATATCTGGTCTTGTGCTTAATTAGAGTCCAAGTGTGGAAAAAATGGAAAGGGGGAGGAGGGGGCAGAAATGGAGAGAGGGGAAGGATAAATATTTTAGCAGTTAAGGAATATCAAACTGCTGAAAGCAGTCAGTTTTTAACATGTTACAAGGTGTCCTTAATAAAAATAAAGCTGATTTATCAAAAGTTGTTGGTATCCTGTTCTCTAGAACAGTAGTCTCCAAACTTAATTTGATTGTGCATTTCTGTCAGTAAAAAGCTTTTAAGCACCACCTCAATATATGTATATTTATAAATTATATACATGTACCTCTATTCTAGTATTACAAGCAATATGTATGTTTTTAATGTTTACTTTCTTATTGAAAGTAAAAGTAATAGTTTTCTTCATACACTCTAATTGTCTTGTCCGTTGTGGATTTTTCTTGCATGCACCCCACTTTGGAGACCATTGCTTTAGACAACCTCCTTCTTTGCTCCACAAGCAGTACCAAGCACTTAATCTTTTGAGTCCTGCACTGCAAGCTAAGCTTTGAAGAGGTGACTTGTTGTCACCTCTTCAAAGTTCCCACTTCTATCCCTTTCAGATCACTTTTACATCTATTCTTTGATGGTAGAGAGGTGCCACAGCTGTATCTGTTTCTGCTTCTTATGTCTCCCTGTCTCCTCAAAGTACGCAACATTTTGCATTCCCTGTGCTGAGCTAGCAGGGAGAGGGGAAAGAGGGGCAAAACAGCTTTATGACTCAAGAGCTTACAGCAGGAATCAAAGCAAATAGGGAGTGCTGCTACTCTATGACCTGTTTCGTGATGTTTCCCCATTTTCCTCTCAGAGAGGAACCTGATAAAGTTTATGGTGAGTACATCTGAGGGTGTTGTATCATCCTGGGAACAAAAAGAACAGGCTAAAAGGTTACTAGGCAGGACCCATCAGGGCAAGCTGCTTTCTCCAACTGGCTCTCCAAACCTCTCTCTGTAGGTATTGTGCTGGCACAATGCCCTGGGGGAACCCTGGTGACCACAGAGACTTTGAGCCCCAGCGTCACGATGATGGCTACATCGAAGTCATCGGGTTCACCATGGCCTCGCTGGTGAGTACAGGGGGTGCTACCAGGCTGGGAGAGCTCTGTGGGCAACACTGCAGAGTGCAAAATACTCCTTGTTACTGAAAACCAGATGTGTTTCCCCATAGATAAGGCCAAAGCGTGCTCTGCTGTTAAACGGCAGAGCCAAATAGTTATTTTCTAACAAGAGAAGTATTATTTAATAATAAAAAGTATTACTTGCAAAATATGGCTGATTTGCATGTGCAGTGCTCTGAAGTTAAATGGCAAGATTATTACAGTAAGAGCAGTATGATAGGAGCATGAAATCATGATTTTGCTGTGGCAATGTTCTATGATCAAATAAACACTCCTTTCTCTCTTTGGCTTTTGTATTTCATTCTATGGTATTAAAGTATGTTTTTAAGTATAGATGGTATATAAATATGAAATATGATATAAACTTATATGGATATATAGTTTCTGTACGCTCACAAAAAGTCTTGTGAAACTTTAGTAATAGCTGTGGAAGACTTTATTAATATTTCTTGTGTGAATTTTATCTCTCCTTTTTATTCTGCTAGAAAAAGGAAATTCAACCAACAATTTTGATTTGTCAGTGCACTTTCTTCCAATGCCATCTTTAAAGTGAACTAAAACTGAGATACCATAAATACCCTGGTGTCCTGCTATGGCAGTGGCCAAACACTGTGACAGTGTCTTCAGGGGGTGGTTAAATGCAGCCAGAGTTGGCAATCTCCATGCTAGCACCAGTCTACCTAAGGCACTGAAGCTTGGGCTTAGTGTGCCCAGCAGAAGGCTCACAACTGGACGTGCTGGCAAGTTTCTATAGCTCACACTTAGCTCCATACCTGTAGGCCTTTGTTGCTGCTGTCTCATGTAAGCTAGTTTAAAACAAAGATGGATAAGCCTGTTTTAGCTAAACCCCTTGTTATGTGACCTGGCTGCAGTCCATATCACTTTCAGTAAATACCCATGATAATTGTGTTTGTTTCCTCAAAGAGTAAGTCAGTCAAATCTAATCTTCATAGTAAGCAAAAGGCAGTCTTGGTCAATCTTTCCTTTAAAAATTTGTCTGGGTTAAGGATATCTTCCTGGATTTTTTTTTTAATGGCCTTGTTGATTAGGGAAATAACCCACAAGAAAAAATTTTTTTATTATCCTAGTAGATCTTGTGAAATAAAAGTGAAGAGGAGTTTAGGACATGTTTTTGAAAATGCTGTCAAAACTTTAGTATGTACAAACTGACAATTTTCAGTCAGAAGATTTTTTTTTTGTTTGTTTTGTTTTGTTTTTGCCACTAACACAGTTCTAGTCAATGGAGGTGGCTAGACAGATCTCAAAAGCTACCAAAAATTTTAGTTAGGGCTGAATTTAAGAAGTAGGGCCCTTTGAGCTTCTGTTTCTCTTTACAGGAAGTCTAGTTGAGAACTGTGGGTCTACAGGTGTGCTTTGTTGTGATGCTGAAGAATGATTATAACCCTAGACTGCGTTGATATAATCCTAACTTGCCTTGTATGTCTCACATGTGCTTGTTGTACCTAAGTAGGTCTGTGAAACCAAACGAAAGAACTACTTTATAAAAAGCATTATTATATTATTGATCATATTGTCAATTGATCCATCATATTAAGTACACAGGCCTTGACTTGTGTTTACACTGTTCTCTGTTAGCATTGCATTAATATGAGAATTTTTTTCTGCATCTGAGAGATGAGAGTGAATTGTCACATAATAGTCATATTCATTAAAAAAATACATTTCTGCCCAAACATGTCTGCCTAGAACTTGAAGGACCTGCTTATTGTCTTCCTTGCTTAATTTCTTTGAAGTGAATTCTTTAACATGATATTTAATTGTTTTTACAAGGTCCTTCTGTTTGCTCTTTTCAGCCTGTCTAATGCTAAGATTGACTTGATGTGTAAGCTTTCATAATAAAAAATTTAAATTTACTAATTCACATTAAGGACCATTCTGTTCAGGAAGAGGAAATAATTTTTCTGTCTCACAGATGTATCTAATTAGGGATGTTGTTTTAAAGAGCAAATAATTATTAGCATGACTGTTATTGTAAAAACAAACCAACCAAAGCAAATTGAAAGCTTTAAGAATGAGCACAGTTATTAATTTGTGTGTGCACACGTGTGTATATATAGATGATGAGTCCGATAATGCATGTGGTTAGATATCTGCTTGATGCTTGGCACTTTTGGGGTGAAAGCACTTTTATCAGAATAGCTTAGGAATGGAGTACTGTGTAATGGATGCTGCCAGCAAAGTGGCATTTTGGATTTGTTAACTGCCTCAGCTGCCTCTGTTCTGAGCCATCTTTTTCTCGCTTGTTTTGTTTGTTTGTGTATTTTGTTTGTTTTTTGCAGGCTGCTCTCCAGGTGGGTGGCCACGGAGAGCGGTTGCACCAGTGCCGGGAGGTGACGCTTTTGACGTACAAGTCTATCCCCATGCAAGTGGACGGCGAGCCCTGTCGGCTGGCTCCCTCCCTCATCCGCATCTCCCTAAGGAACCAAGCCAACATGGTGCAGAAAAGCAAGAGGAGAACGTCCATGCCTTTGCTGAATGAGTGAGTTGCACATGTGCATGTCCTAACGGCAGGAGGCCCGTGTGGGGCAGCATATTCCATGGTCATGGATTTTGCATGTACTGGACTTTCAGCGCATTTGAAAAATAAATTTAAAAAAATCACATCTTCTGAAGTCCCTTTTCACTCTATTGCAAATACTTACCTGACTTTCGTTTACCCTTTATCTTCTGAGTTATCCCTGTCTTGCTTTTAGACTGGTGTTCTATCTTTCTGTTATGTATTTATTTATTTAGAGAGGTTTCTGCAGGCTTGGCAGTGTGCCCCTTGGCTTTTGATGGTTCTGCATATGTATGCCATTTGCCCTTGAAGTTTTTTTGATTTAGTTTCTCAGCTTTATTGATCTGCTTTTTAAGCTGCATTGAAGACCCTGTAAGAAATTGCCACAATCAAGAACTAATCAGGATGTATTTCAGTCTCTGCTGTGAGCACATGCTGTCTGGCAGAGTCTATGGATAAAGATTTGAATGTCCTGAAAGAACTATTTGTACTTTGTAGGAAATCTTTCTCCAGTATAGGAACCCAAATGAGAAATGAGTATTGTAAATATGACTAGAGAAATCTGAGATTGGAAACTAGTAGCTTGTGAAGAGGAATACCCAGGACTAACATTCCTTTTCATGATTAAAATTTCTTTACAAGCACTGCAGATATAATTTAATTAGAAGAAACCTAAATAGTCAAATTTTGACCTATGAAAGTGGCCATCCAATAAAATTACTTAGATTATTTTGTAGAGGGTATTATTGTAATCCTTGTATAGGTCTTTATGGCTGCTAAAATGAGTGTTGCAAGGGACTTTGCTGTTTTTCATCAAATATTCCAAATGTGAAGAAAAACAGTCTGTCCCTTATCCAAAGATACTGAACTAATGCCCTAAATGTATTAAGGATCCACATTTAATTCAAACACTCATGCATCGAGGCTTTAATATGTCTGGGGAAATGGGTGGGGGAATTTTGCTGTTGCAATTGTAATGGTGAGGCAAGTTCTGTGAAGAGATGTAATACCTTCCGAAAGACTAACTCATATAACTGGAAAAAAAAAAAAGGACAAGGTCTTAGGTACACCTTTTCTCTTCAGCTATCTTAAAAGTTGTCTCCCTCACAGCTGTATACCTAGAGAAAGATCCTGCTTTACTTCAAACTTTGACTCCAGCCCTTAAGAGTTTTTTGTCATCCCCTGGCTGTCAATCTATTAATGTAATCAAAGCCACCCTGGTTACTTTCAACGTGTTCCTGTTCAATTTAGCACTCTGTTTTCTTACTGAGACTAATGCTTTAAGTTGCAGTAGAAACCCATTTCTCTAATGTGCAATTTCTATTTGCCTGGAAAATATATAAAGTATACTCATCTTCCTTGAGCAGAGAATAGCAGACTCTTGACTATGGGCAGCAGTGCTCAATCTCACCCATCCACAACTCCTCAATCTTCAGTAAAAGCAAAGGGCAGCCCTGGGAGATCTTTTTCTGCACTGAAGGAGGCTAATGCAAACCTAAAAAGAGAATTCATGGTATTTCAAACTGATAATTAGCATGGGTTAGGTTTGGATTTTTAGATCTGAATTTAAACTGTGGTAGGGAAATACAGATTTGTAGTATATGCCAAATGTCAAGGGCATATTATTAGTGGTTTAGCTTGATTTAAATGTGCCATGGTACACTAAATTGCTGTCAGAGTCCTTTGATTTGGCTGACATATTTTTTTGCAGATCTGTGTCTTGGGAAAATGCAAATGATCTGTCAGGAACTGTAGTCTCAGCTTCACATATCAGAAACTGTGTGTGTAGATATTTACATCTATTTCTATATATAACTGTGTATGTTCGCTCTGAGGTGTTAAAAAGGAGGGAGAGAGGACTTGAATCTTCTACTGTGATAAAAAGTAAATGACTTGTTAAAGGTTAAAATCTAGGAAGCATATTAGTATTGTAAGAAATTCATTCAATATGATGCTGATTGGTAGTATTGCACAAGTGAAGAAATTTGTAATTAAATATGTTTATCTATTTTTCTTAACTTGATCTCTAGGATATAACTCCTTGTTCCGTTGGAATCTCCCAGAAAGCCTGGTATTGGATTGAACATGATAGATGAAGGGTTTTTTAATGACTATCATTTAAATGTCAGATGTGTGAGATAAGTCAGAAGGTCTGGAGCTATCTTTAATTACTAGACAGCTCTTCTTGAGCTCCTTGCCAGAACAGCAATTAGAAAATTGTCTTGGTCACAGAAATTCAGAGTTGTTATTATTGTCAGCTTTGATGTTATTGCCAGATAAAAAGTGGGAGTAAGTAGACGTGGGAGTAAGAAGACGACTAAACTTGAAGAAGTCTTACACTGTTTCTCTATTTTTTTTGTCCTGATCGTATTTTTTCTGTGGTTTTTTTTTTTTTTTTTTTTTTCTCCTTGAAACACTTGTTGGCTAAGTTCTCATTCCTGTTCTCCACTATTGATCACAGTAGCATGTGAAAGAGACAACACAGCTTGGTTTTCTGTGACTGAGCCAAGAATGTGGCTGTTGCGAGCTATACCAAAAATTATGGGGAATAAAAAGAGAAACTGTGGTTCAGCTTTTCCAGGAATAATTTTCTGATTAGAAACTCCTGCATAGTATATTCCCCAGTAAGTTTCAGTTAATGAACACTTTCTGAATTGCAAAATGTATTTTGCTCTCACTGATTTTTAGTTTGGCTTGAGGGAGAGCATCCTGCATAATGGAAGAGAAAGAAGAGGGAAGAGCTTTTAGATAAAACATATTTGATATATTCAAGAAAAAGAAAGGGATCATTTGAATATAAACTCTAAAGGTGAATATAAACACTAAAAGTGAATATTAATAAAATGCAAGTTTCCCTAAGGTATGAGCAAGAAGAGTGGAAACAACAACTTGTCATTGTAGATACAATATCTCCAGTGAGGGTATTTTTTCCTTAAACAGTAATTAGTTGGTCAACCCTTGGAGAAAATTCAATCCGTCTGGATCTCAGCTTTGATGTTTGTTTGCATTTCTGGACCTGCTTCCGAAGTCTGTTGCTTTGAAATTTTCAGTGCCTGTGGAAGGAATTCTGGGATCCCTTGTCTTGTATGTTTATGTGCTGAGCTTTTCACTGCTCCTCACTTGTAGCTTTAGAAAGCTCCAGTGTGCCACATAGCAGTGATTTTCTGCATTTGCATGTCTTCAGCTGCTCTTGGCTTCCTAATGTGAGCTCAGAGCTCTGCATGGCCCTTCATTCAACTTTTATGTGACACATTCCTTTTGTTTCTGTTTAAATGTTGTGTGTCTTTTTCTTTCTTCTCTTCCACTCCTCCTCTCTCTCTCACCTTTTTTTCTTGTCTGTCCTCACCGTGTGCTGTTTTTCTCCTGGCCACTCATTTCCTGCTGCCTTATAGTATCCATAAAGTGCAGTCTGCTGACCTGAGGAGAGTCTCGGCTCCCCCTGATTCCTTCACTGTGTGAGTATCTGGCTTTTTTCTATTCTAAAAGTTCCACAGTCTTTTGTTTTTACCCTGTGTCATTCAACTGAGAGATGGGGCAGTAAAACCCAATGGCAAATGGAAAGAGGGAGCTCAGATGACAGCATGACTGATGGGCACAGTTCCACAGTAGCCAAGTAAGGTGAGCAGGACATGTCTGGTGATGGTGATCAGGTTCAGCCATGAGCCAGCTCTCCAAACATCCGTGGCAACAGGCACATCTGAGGTTTAATGCCAGGCATCATTCCTGGAAAGAACTGATGTGAGATCTTTTCAATCCAAAACAGGAGGTTTCCTCTGAACATGAGGAAAAAATGCTTTTTATCAAAAGGCTGACAGAGTACTAGCACAGATTGCCAGTAGAGGCTGTGGAATCTTCATCTTTAGTCAAAGTCAAACCCTGCCTGGACACGGTCCTGGATAGCCTGCTCTAGGTGGTCCTGCTTGAGCAGGGGTTTGCACCAGATGGCCTCTATAGGTCTCTTTCAGCTTCAACCATTCTGTGATTCTGTGAAATTTTGGAAAGCTCCAAGTGTTTTATTGTTATTTTGGGAAAAGGAAAGATTTTCAGTTTGGTGTGCCTTTTCCGTGGGTCCAGTCTGCTGTATTCTGCTGACAAGCATAAAGTAATGAAACCAACTTGCCTCACCAATTCAGCATCTGAATCAGCCTCTAGAAAAAATTTGAGGTAACCCTTATTTCTTACACAGAACATTGAGCTGCGTGTCTAAGAGAAAGAGTACTATTTCCAAGCTCAGGGATATCCCTTGGAAAATGACCTCCAAGTTTTGATGCAGTTCATTTTAATGTCCCAGTTGATATTAACTGTCAGAATAAAGCAGGAAGAGAAAGACTTGCAAACTAATTTGAAAGTCAAAGTTGTTCTCTATCTTAAAATCTGTGAAAATAGATTAAACATGCTGCTGCACTGGGGCTGGCAATTAATGTGTCTGGCAAATTAAAATAAGAACCCATGAGGTAACATGGAAATATGATTTGGATTATGATGGCTTTGAGATTCAAATATTGCTTTGTGGTTTTTTTTTTGAACAACATAGAAGAAGACTGAGTTCCAGTTAGTACTGAACAGCAGGGCAGATCCTATTGAGACCTGGTGATGGATTATATCCTGTCTTAGATAAATGTCAGGACTTCTGCAGCAGGAGATGCATGGGAATTTGGGGCAGCCAATTTATTAGGCTCATGTGGGTTTTTTTGCAGAGACAGTAGAACTGTAGTGTGTTCCATTGCAAATGCTTATACAAGGTGTGGAAGTAAATACAAGCATATTTTTGAGGGTCTTTTAAAAGGAAGGTGAAAACTTGCATTTTCCTGCTGAATGTTCAGAGATGAGAAGATGCATATGTGAGAGTACGTTTTTCTTGTGTGGTTGATGCTGAAAATTACCATTGAAAAATAAGATATTTACTTGTGTAGATCCTACAGCTCTTGGAATAAACACTGTGGGTAAGCTGTAATTATTTTTTCAATTACAAAATCTGCATAAATGAAAATACAAATATCACTATTGGTAAATACCACGCCTTTATGGAGTTTATGTTGTAATGATTGTGGCAGAGTATGTGTATAAAACCTGTGTGAATAAGAAAAGGGTAAGAAAAAATAATATTTTTGCTTTTAGATGTTCAAATGCCAAACAAAATCAACTTTCTGAAGCTGAATATGGTTACTGTTTATAAGAGGAGAGTCTAATAAAGAGTAGGAGGCAAGGTCTAAGGGAGAAGGTGGTAGAATGTGAACTATTCTCCAAATGCAGAGTTAAGGATGAAAATGCTTGGAGAGATCTCCTTCTTTTCTGAAACATGATTTATAGGGAACTGAGTATCCTCATTTTTTCATCAGTTTTTCCTGTTTAACATGTGGGTTTCTGAATGTGAAGCTGTCCTGTGCTCCCTGGCAGCCCAGAAAGCCAATCATAAACTGAGCTGCAGCTGAATCAGCATGGCCAGCAGGTCCAGGGAGGTGATTCTGCCCCTCTGTTCTGCTCGTGTGAGACCTCACCTGTAGTGCTGCATCCAGCTTCAGGGTCCCCACCATGGCAAGGATGTTGACCTGTTGGAGTGAGTTCAGCAGAGGGCCCCCAAGGCAATTAGAAGGATTGAGCATCTCTCCTATGAGGAAAGGCTGAAAGAATTGGGGTTGTTTAACCTGGAGAACAGAAGCTTTGGGGTAACCTAATTGTGGCCTTCCAGTACCTGAGGGGAGCCTACAAGAAATATGGAGAAGGACCATTTACAAGAGCGTGTAATGACAAGTGATTTCAATCTGAAAGAGAGTAGGTTTGGATTAGATATTAGGAAGAAATTCTTTATGCTGAGGTGCTCGAACAGGTTGCCCAGAGAAGTTGTGGGTGTCCCATCCCTGGAGGTATTCAAGGCCAGGTTGGATGGGGCTTTGAACAACCTGGTCTTGTGAAAGGTGTCCCTGCCCATGGCAGGGGAGCTGGAACTAAATGATCTTTAAGGTCCCTTCCAACCCAAAAATTTATATAATTCTGTTTAGAGGGATTATTACTTATGGAGAACCTGCTGTGCTTGGAAGGGTAAAGCGTGAGAGAACAACAGTTAGCATGCAGGAGAAGAAAAGCAAGTTCCAGGATTCTACTGGGAACTTCAGAATGTGTCTGTACTTTAAGTGTCTCTCCGGATCTAGCTCTACAAAGCCAAATGTGTTTGCTGAAGAAATTGTGAGATAAAAAAATGCCAAAGAATTTACTACATTTGGGTTAACCTGGCTTATCTGGGATAACTCTTATGTTGTGATTTTGGCTGTGACATGGCTGATTTTCTCCCTAGTAGCTGTACAGAACTGTTTTCTGGATTTATGGCAAGAATAATGTTTTGGCTATTGCTAAGTAGTGTTTATCCCAAGTAAACTATTTTCAGTGTCTCGCACTGCTGCTGAGGAGCTGCACTCAGCGTTGAGAGAGTGTGAGGCCAGGTAAGCTGATACAAACTGGCCAAGGGGATATTTCACACCAGAGAAGGTCATGCCCAGTATGTAAACTGGAGAAGTTACCTGGCAGGGGTCTGAGTGCTGTTTGGGGATATGCTGCATGGTGGGCTTTTGTAAAATTTTCTCTCCAATTTGTAAATCTCTCTGCCCCTCACTTATCATTACTATTGTTATTATTATTGCCATATCTATTATTATTATTATACTATTTTGTTCTATCATGAAATTCTTATCCCATCTGTGAGGTTTATATTTTCTTTCCAATGCTTCTCCTAACCAAGGGGAGTGTCCTTTGGCCCAGCACTCTATGACATGGCTGCTCATCTAGCTCAGATTCCCAAATGAAAGAAAAAAATATGTGTTAGAGCTTATAATTTCGAGGGTATTTGCTTGGGTTTTTTTAGGTAAAGAGCTTAGCAAGAGCTTCACCTTAAAATAGTAGATAACTTTTGTGATGCGTTGAAATTTGTCCATAGAAGAGACTGAATGAGTCTGCTCTGTTGTGGCAGTTCTTATGTTTCAAGTAGATAGATGCTGTCAGAAACTTATTTTTAATGTATCATTTCCAAGCTCTGTCAATGTAATCTTGAAAGTAAGGTGAATTCATTTTTCTCTTTTGGCTACAGCTTTCCTTTTCCCAATTGTTCTAAACACCAGAATACTTAATTGTTCATGTTTATTTCTTCTCTAGGAGACAGGTAATTCCTTTATCATTCATTGTCACTGCAAACATCCCCTAAAAGACTGATTTTTTTACTCAAGTATTTTTTTATGGGGAGGCAGTAGATTTCCTTTTCTGTTTACCGAATCATGTTAAAATCCATGTATAGGATGGTATAGACTGTATTCTTGAAGATCTGTTAGAAATTTGTCACTGGATTCTGTAGACTAGTTGGACTATTTGTATTTTTTTTCCTTTCTCTGTGGAGACATGAAGTGTAAGAAATGGTTCACTGGGTTCATAAATAATTGAAATAGGGATTGGGGTATTTATAATTTACAAGTCTGTCTCCCCAGCTGAATCAAGCTGGTGGCATGGCAGAAGTGTAGCAGTTTGCTATGCAGGAGTGCCAGGCTTGGGCAGGACCCAAGCTTGCTCTGCCTGTGCTCTTCCCTGGGTGGCTGGAGGCAGATGTCCTAGGAAAACCAGCTGTGCTCCAAGTGGGCTGTCTGGCATCCTCTCACTTGTTGCTGGATGATTAATAGGGGTGAGAGGAGGAAGTCATGGCTTCATCAAAAGCCAAGTGTGTTTTCTAGATGAAAGATCTTGGAGAAGATTCATATTTAGGTTTGTGTTTAAATGCTAAATAAACAGGATGTTTTATTTGACCTCAATCTTTATTTGCATCCATATGAGGCAAATGACATTTAGGATTTAATTCTGTGGATTGATGTGTTTATGGAATGAATTCTTAATTAGATTCTTTAGGAGGTAATAGACTTAATTCATCTGTACTTTCAAATACTTTTTGTTGACTATGTAATACACCATTAAAAATAATTATTAATAGGTAAGTAATTTAAGTAATTTAGGTTGAATTAAAGTGCAGCAATCTCCCAAAATTTATTTATAAATTGCTGCTTTATGTGGAAAGCTTTTCTTCCTCTCCTTGCAGTTCAGCAAGCTGTTTTACACAGTATTTAGAGACATCTATTTCTATTCATACTGTACTAATGTTTCTGTTCAGTGACATTCATCATCCTATTATTTGCTTTTACATGGACATGCTTAGGTATTTAATCTTTCTGGTTTATGGATATACTGAGTATGTCTGAACAAAGACAAATTGATCTATTTGTATAATAATATGGATTATGACACAGTGTCTGTGAAGACTGAAGTAGTGTTGATAGTGGAAGTATTTCGCTCAGCTCCATTAGAGTTCTGTGAATGAATGACTTAATTAGTTTGACTGATGAGGACAATATACCCTGGTGTCAATTACTAGTCTGACAGCACAAGAAATGAATATTCAAATAGTGAGTTTTAGAATCAAATTTATTTTGAATAGGTAATAAAATTTAGTGGCACAATGTGTCAGCCAATGACTATTATAACAGAACAAAAGGTGTTTGCAAAGAACTGATGAACAAAACCATCAAGCTTCAGTTACTGAATAAATGTCTCTTTTGTGTTGGTGTCAATATACACATGTATTTAGGAATGTGAATATATGTTTACCTGTGTTATGAATATGCTGCTTATTACTGGACCTGGCTAAGTGTATCAATCTCTACCCTGTAGAAAGGAACTCCTGGCATTGTTATTTCTGGTAATAGTTTATTTTCTATAGAAAGCTACTGTTTCCAAGGTTACATTTTTTTTTTTAGTAAGATAACTAAATTTTTCAAATGGACAAGAGGCCAAGTTCTGTTTCTCTCCAGTTGTATGTTTTAGCACACAACCTGTTAATGTCATGGTTTTAGCCTGTCTTTATAAAAATGGTAGAACAGAATACCAAACTCTGGCACTTGCCAGTTGATTGCCCTCCTACACTGAACCTGCTCCATTTTCTCCTCAGAAAATACATCACACTTTATATGGTATGCTTGTTGCTCCTGCAGAAGCAAAGTCAGAGATATACAGTGTGCCTATATATCAAAAATTACACCTTTTGCAAAAGCATGGGAAGTGTCCTCCTAAACAATTTCTAATTAAAAGAGAATTTTGGAGAGTGTGTGTGTGGTTCTTGGAAGAAGAAATATATTCTAGATTTGCTCTTCATTTTAGATATTTTTCTTCCTCCAGCTCCAAGCAAAGAAAAAGACCTTGTTTACTTCTTTGTAGGTGAAAGGACTAATTTGACTCAGAAGGTGATACTGCGCATGCAATAGGTTGCCATCGGCTTCAAGCTAAGAAATAACATTTCTTTTTCTTCCTTACATGGCATTAGGTAGTGAGTCAGCATATCTACAGAAGTCAGGGTTGTCTTTCTCTCCTCTTGGTGTCCAAACACCATCCTGTGAGGGATGGTGTTTGGATACCAACAGGTAGGTTGGAAGGGAGGCAATTAGCCAAGGTTTGGCAAATGTTGGCATCTGTCATCCTGAGGTCATCCTGTTTTCCTCTCCTGCTTTCATGAGATACCTAGATTATTCATTGTGATAATGAGTTTGAAATGATGCCCATTGTGATAGAATATAAGTCTACCACTGATTAATTGATGATATTAGTGAAGAAAATTCACAATACAACCTGTGTTTAGAAATGAGGTAACATTGAGATGTGCCTTGTCCTTCACTAGCAGTGCAAATGGTATAAGTCAGATAGTTTAAAACTGAGACAAAGAAAGAAGCAAAACTGTATATTTATGAGAGTACACAGCATTATGTGTTTGAAAAGGCAGCGTGTATTAGACAATATTACTGTAGGCAGAGTCCTGGTACTAACAAGATTAAAACAGAAAATATAGACAGTATTTTGGTAAAAGCACAGAATGAGTAATCTACTTTTAACTGATCTGGGACTGAGTTCCTATAGGAACAGACATTTGCTACATGCATTATAATACATAGATTGTCTCTCTTTCTTTAAAAGTGGAAGATGCAAGTGTGGCTAAATTAATTTGTATACAATCTAGCTAAACTTAAAAAAAGCAAGTAAAAGTTATATTAAAAAAAGCAAGTAAAAGTTATAAAAGTTATATATAATTATAAAAGAAAGCTTTTCTTGACAAATTTCTATCCATATTTATATGGATATTTCATATTAAGTATATGAACACTCAATTTCTAGATACTGACCTACTGAGTCTTTCAAAATTATCAATAGTTGGGGTATCTAAATCAGACTAAATTCTGTAAAAGTGAGGTTGCCATACTGCTTCTTGCTTTTAAAAGTCCTCCTGGGTTTTGAGTATTAGACTCACAACTTTCGAAATCTGGCTCTTAGCCACATTTTTGTTGACTGTTTCTCAGACCTGAGATGCTGGATCAGGATCCTTCAGTAATGTTGTGTAGATGCTCTCATGGGCAGAGGTTGTCCTGAGATACTTCCCAAGAAGCATCTTTCTGTGTCTTGAAATTCAAGTTAGCAGATCTATGTACTGGCTGTGGTAGGGCTCTAAGAATCTACACAAAGTCAAACAGGACAAGGGCAGACTAGCTTCATGGGGGTATAAAAATTCAGGAAAAACCTTTGCAGTTTCAGATCACACAAACAGCAAACAGGATTCTAATCTTGCTTATTATTTAAGGTGTAATATCCATGCTGTTGTGCAGTAGATAGTCATAATTTTAACTGCAGGAATGGGCCTGTGGGGATGTGGATCACTTTTGAAGAGGCTTGTGCACTTTCTTCTTTCAGAGAAGATTGAAATTCCTTCATATCCTCTTTTCCTTTACTTTTCTAGGGAACACTTTGTCTAAGAAGCTTTCTTGTTTTCTTGCAGTCCTCATTCCATCCCAGATCGCCTGCGGATCAGAGTGAACAGGATTAATTTACAAGAATACGAGGGGCTACATTACGACAAAGAAAAACTCCGGGAAGCTTGTAAGTTGGAAGAAGCCAGATTGTGGCTGCTTTTGATAGAACATTCTGTACAAATCTTACTTTGACCAAGACAACCCCTACCCCTAAAATAACAACAAAAACTCCCAAACACAGAGTCAAGCATTTCGACGAGTAATATCGAGAGTACGCTCATCTATATGTGCATATGTATAAATGTTCTCTCTATATAAATAACCTCTATAGAGATCATGTATACAGACTCCTCCTGCTTTCTTATTTACCTATGTTTCTGCCCTGTGATTGTATTTACTGTAAAATAAGTAATGTTCTGCACACAGGGTATTTTTTATTCATATCTTTCTGTTGTTTCTGCTGGGTTTCTAGTATATGAAACTGTAACACATTTTATGATTAGCATCAGATTTCAAGCTGAGTGGCACACTATGATATATTTGATATTGAGAATGTGCACAGACCTGGAACATGGTTCTTGCACAGGTACATTTATCTTTGGGAACAAATCTGGGTTCCCCACTCCCTTATTCTTTACCAGCTTTCAGTTTTCCGAGAATAATCACTGTTTTGTTTCCTCATGTAATGGTTTAATTGCTGTGTTTAGGGGTAAGTCAAAAGCAGACAGTGGTTGCTTTGGCAACATTGATGATGACAATCTGAACTTAAAAATGGAATTCCTTTCCTTGGTGACACAGAGTCATTAATCAGTGAGGGACAGGGCTACTTGTGATAACAATTTAATAGTCTTGTGACGCATCTGGCTCATTATTCATATTAAATTACAAGCATAAGTGTTGGTTGTGCAACAGAGCTTCAGTTCCCTCTGCAATACAGAGTGCTCTGGTAATTACAGGATGACAATCCTTTTAATTGGTTTGCTTATCTTCTTGTTGGAAGATAGTTAAACTGTTTCCATTTCACTCCCAGTCTCCCCCCTCCTCAATCTACCATCTCTCCTTACACCAAAAGAATTGAAATAGCTTAAATTTTAATATAGGTCTTGACAGCCTTAACTGAAGTTACTGGATTTTGGTCATATTTAAAGCAAACAAAGCCTTCTTCACTGGACTGAGAAGAATTTTAACAGGATCAGGATTATTCCTCACTGGAGCAGAACTTGCTTCAAGTTCAAATTGAGAGTTTGGCATTGAGTAGATTTCAGGCCACATTGAACACACAACTCCCCAACACTGCCAGAAACAACGTGGTTCATTTGAGGGTTTCCCATCTGAGGAGAGCTATTCTTATCCATCCTTAGTATGGATGCAAATTTTCTGTGTCTATAGTTAGCATGTTTTTTGTCCTTAAGAGTCATTACATGTTCTGACGAAACATACAACTTCTTACACTGTTGTCACTGCAGTGGTAATTGTGTATTTATCTTATTTGTCACCTGCCAAAATTCATAATGATAAGATTATAAAAAAATGCCAGCAACTGATCTAACATCCTGGTTTTAGATTTCATATGGATTTGATCACTCAGTAGGAGTGTGCTTAAGAGGTTATCATTCAAAAAACAGATATTTGTTCATCAAGAGTTAAAATTATTGCTTTTGGACATTGGTGGTTCATTTGTAATAAAACCCTTTTGAATCTTTGAAGTTAATGCATGATAATATAACATAGCTGGACTGGACTATTCTCTCTAGATATTTTTCCATGAGTTGTTTTTTTCTACCAGTCCTCTTTTAACTGTCGCAGTAATGCTTGTGCATTGCTGTTGTTACTTACTGTAAGAATATGAGAAAGCAAATATCCTCATTTTCCTAAAAGAGAGCAGAAAAGATATTTCACCTTAGCCTTTGTAGTAGTAATGTCCTGTGAGAGAGCATGTAATTTTTACGATACACTTGTGGTCATAAGTCTACTTCTCTGCTTATATAACTTTAAATGCCTCTTTTACTGGGAAGTTGTTACTAAAGAGGTGCTGGTTTCTTTCAGCAAGACTGTAGCTCTTGTGTGTATGGATGTCTCACTAGATGCTTGCAGGAGACCAAGTTTATGTACTTGCTCAGGCTTTGGCAGAATACCTACAACTGAATCCAGAATGCTATACTTAATATCCATTCTCCATCCACATGGATTAAAAACAGTTCAACCTCCCTAAATAATTTGAGAACAAAGCAGAATCTCACAACAATCTGAACAGGAAAAGGAAGCCAGTTAATAAGGAGTTAGCCCTGAAGGAAAAATAGCAAAGAACTTATTCGGGTTTTTGCCTGTTACATGTCTCCATAATACAGCTTTGAAAGCTCTGACCTCACTGTAATAATCTGGATAATTTTAACTCAGAGTGAATACATTAATGCTTGCTTGCTTTTAATACTGATTTGAATCTATCAACTATTTCACCTAAGATTGTCTTCCTGATATAGAAGAGCTCATGATACAAAATGTTCCATGAAGATTAATCTTCACTCTGCTGGAGGTAGACACTTCATTTTGAAAGCCTCCAGAACAATTAAAGAATGTAATTTTGTCCTTTGAAGGGCAGGACTGTCCTTAGCTCATTCTCCTTCTGTTTTCTACTTTTCTTGTCAATGCAGCTGGCATTTAACCCAGATGCTGTTTCTGAATTGTCCCTTTCTTCCCTCCCCTTGCTCCTTCTTTTCTCCTGTCAGCATCTCAGTATTGTGTGTGGGATGATTAATGATGGTACAGAGGATGCTTATTGATCCTTCAGTGAGGAGGGATGAATGCTTCAATGCAGCATTTTAAGAAAGGGATATATGTTGGCATTTTAGTTATGTTGTAATATTCTTCACTGCAAATGTAGTTGTCTTTTCTAACACCTCCTTATTCATGTCCTAAGCACTTGTCACCCTAGTCACAAGCTCTGCCATCTCTGACCAATATGAGAGTTGTACATTACAATGACCCTAACTAAGATTATCTTACTCAAGAAGTGAGGTGGACTGATGTTTCTAGGTGGACAGAATTTATTTCTATCTCTGCTGCCTGCTTGTCTTGTGTGCACTCTCTCTGGCTTCCTGTAAAATGTGATCCAAAGCAGCACTGTGGGTGAACAATTGAGTTATTTTTAAGACAGCAATCTTTCTGTGTGAGACCCTATTTTCTCCTTTCCAATATAACTAAGAATTTCCTAACAATGGAGGCATATGCGGAAACTAATTATGTTTAAAAAAAAGCAACAAACAAACCAAACGTAAGCTAGACAGTGGCCTAGTGAGCTTCAGTGCTTCTTAGTTTTTCCTAGCAACACCATTTCAGATATGCATCATAAAAATCTATCAGTGAAATAACTCACCATAAGCAGAAACTGAACAATTGTGGGATTTTTTAATAGGGTATGTCAGCCCTTACTGCCCTTAACGTGTTGTGTGTGCCCTAGGCATGAAGAATAATCTTAGCTTCCTCAGTACCACTAAGATTAAGGAGGAATCATACCCAATTGCACTGATGACAGTATCAGAAATAACTCTCAGCCCTGTGTCACCTCTAGGTTTCCCATACTTTATTTTACACAGATGCAGCTGCTCCTTATGTCCTCTAGAACAAAATATCCCACTAGACTCAAGAAATGTTAAGAGAAAATTTAGTTCCATGTGTTTAATGATTGACCTGTCTGTAACCTAACAATCCTCTTCTGTGCAGCCTCCTTGCTCTGTGTGTGTGCATGATGCTGTAACATGATGGGATCTTAACCTTGAATTCTCGTCTGTTTGATTATCTGTAGTTAAATGTCTATAATGTGTGTGCCTCTAATATCGGTGGGTTACTTGAGGGTTTTGGGATCATACTAGGAGTTCTTATCAGATATATGGGGGTACACAGAGTGACAAGCTTGTGAGTCATTCTGATGTGTACATGTACAGTAATACTGTAGCTTCCTCATACCAGAAAAGCACTTAGAATCCTTGATCTATCAAAGGCATTCTGACTCTTTAAAACTTAGGGATATCACAGGTGAAGCTAATTTGGAGGCTAGCTCATGTGATTTTGAACAGCTAGCTAAGTAAGAAAGGGTGAACACGTAGGACTTGGCATTTATATCCTGAATATGTAATATAAAAGCAGGGAGCAGAAGACTTCCTGATGAGCCACAAAGGAAATATGCTTATATTGGGAAGCAATTTTGATCTGGATGGATTTAGACAAGGCAGGTTGTGCAGGTACCAACCTTCTCTTTCATCCTGTAAAGGATGCACCAATGGGCATTTATTTGTCAGATCTCTTTGGGCACATGGTAGAAGATCCATAAAAGACAACATTACCTTCACTCTGCTTAGAAGTCAGTGCCTTGCTCTAAAAACTTTGTTTTGTCAATACATGTTGTGCACAAATTAGCTAATTTAGATATTTCTTCATCATGGTGATTTCATAAGATCTGAAACTGAGAGGGCTTGAATGGATTGCTTAAAGCCTCCCAGCAAAGTGAAAGCAAGAGGATTAGAAGTCAGTAGTGAGTTAAATATTGGAAATTGCTGTTCTCTGAGGTTGGGGGAAGGAGTAAAGCCAAGCCATTGAAATTTCATATAATGAGGTTATGAATCATAGAATGATTTGAGTGGGAAGGGATTTTTAAAAATGATCTAGTTCCAATCCACTGTTGTGGGCAGGGACCTCTTCCATTAGAACAGGCTGCTCAAAGTCCCTGACCTTGAACTCTCCCAGGGATGGGGACATCTTCCACTTATCTGGGCTACCCATTCCAGTGTCTTGCCACTCTCATTGTAGAGAATTTCTTCCTAATATCTAATATAAATCTAGCTTGTCTTGACACCTCACAGGGCATATTCAGTACAGTCCTCTGCCTTTTGAGCTAGTGGGAAATTGTCATGTGTTAAGTTTGTCATCTTTAAACTAGAAGAGATAGGCATTTATATTTATAAAATTTATATTTATATAAAATTGATAATTTTATAAAAATTTATATTTACCTTAGAAAAGTGGGTAGAAGCGAGAATATTAAGTTCCTTTTTAAACTTTCCAGGAAATCACACTGTAGTTTGTCTTTCTCATGTTGGCTTTTCTGTGAGGTTCTTCTGTCCATATTCAACTTGCATGTTTCCTTAGCACTTTCCTGATTTGATTTCCTCTTACATTTTTAGTCCTGGTTGTCCCCTTTGGATAGCTCACCCCACACACATCCTTCCTGCCTGTCTTAGTCTGTCTCTGCAGACCTCACAGCAAAGGTTCCTGCTCTTTTTCTTTACCCTAAATACTTATTTGTTGTTTATCCAGATCTCTGCTGTCAGCTCTTACTCCCAATATCCATTCCCAGCCAGCTTTAATTCCCAGCTCTTCAAATTTTTTTTTCTATTATCTATTCCTTTTTGTGTGGTTTTTGGCACAGGTTCTCTCCTCCTTTGACTTGGCAGCTTCTTCGCTTTTGGCAGGATATTGGAAAAATCACTGAGAGACTGGAGCCTTTTCAAATATGGTCTGGTTTAATCTGATAACCTCCACTGTGTTTTACCTCCTTATATGTGAGGATTTTGCAAGTGGGCTAAAAAACTAGTAGCCAGTGAACCTAGAGAGAATTGGGTTTTTTCAGTATAATAAGCAGAAGGGATCTGAAGAGATACGTGACTTAGATTTGTGTGGTAAGAAAATCCTTTTATACAAACTCAGTTTTACTAAAACCACACTGGCAAAAGCCAGACCTCTTAATAAAAATGTCTGAACATTTTATAATTCTCTACCATGTATTTGCTTGGTCCTTCATTTTCTTAATATCAGTGGAAGCCCTTTAGGAAATTGGCTTTCTTATGACATATTCAGTAGTGAGGATCCTTTATTTGTTACATTAAACATTTACAGTTCAATGTCTAATCTCCCCCATCCCCTGAGGTGTGTCAGAATCAGAATGAGTTTTCCTAGCATTCACATCTACTGTAATGCTCTGTCTAAAGGCTGTTTTGTTTGGGATTTGAGTGGGTTAATCATGATATTAAGATCACAAATTGAATCCTTTCATAACAATAAACAGGTAAGTTAATTGAATTTTATAATAAATGTAAGTATGTTTGGGCTTCCTTCATTTGTGTCCTCAATACTATTAAAGAGTTCACTAGCCCTAGGTATTCAGCATAATGGGTACTTAATAGGTGGAAGATTTGTTTGTTGCTTATAAATTCCACAGCTAATTTCATGAGGACTTAGGAAATCACTCCTAATCTTGCAGTTAATTAGAACACCAGGCTGGCCATACTGCTGCATCTGCCTAACCCTTCTCCTGCTGATCCTTGGTTTTGGTTAGTGTTGCCAGGAACAAAAACCTTTCTGCAGTACTGGTTCAGATTATGAAGCAACTGTCTGCCTGTCTCATTTCCTGGGTTTTTGCACTGCTGCTCATCACAGCTGCCCGATCAAAATCCTTTTTTATCATTCAGGGAGCACAAAGGAACTGGGACATGGATGCAAGTGGCCAGAAGAGCAGGCGCCTCAGGAGAAAAATATCTGGCACTTGAGTGCTGTGGCTTGGCTCATGATCTGAGACTATTCCTTATTTTTGGCATAGTCACGTGTGTGGGTTTATCCATATGTTCACAGGAGTGTACAGTGTGTGGGTACATGGAAAGTTGTTTTGTAGTGCCTGTGCTCTTAATGTGTTTGCACTCCCACCTCTCTCCTGGCATATCCAGTAATCCCTGTGCCCCACAGGGATTTGTACTGTCCACATCCTCATCCACACAGCAAATGCAGAGGCTCCTTTAATCCTGGATGAAAGTGCCCACAATGTTACTGTCTACTATGCACGTTGACTTGGCCTTTAATTGATTTATCATAAATTAACTAATTTTGCCTCTATTGCATGCTATTGCACTATTTGTAGAATGAGCAGCAACCCCAGAGTTTCTATCCCATTATCAGTCACTAAGCATTTGCTTTTGTTTTAGAACAGCAACTATTGTGAAGCATTCTGTAAGTCCTGACTCTGTGGTGCATTTTGATTGCTTATTGTGGTTAATGATAAAAATCAGGGCTGTGAACATTTTCCTTGCTGAAAGCCAAATGGGTCTTGCAAAAGAAACCAACCAAGCAACAAATGAACAACAACAACAAAAATTGGGAAGAAACATTTTAGCATATACTGTAGTGTTATCCAGTAATGACTTTAAAAGCTTTTCAAAGGCCATGAACGATATGGAATGGAACCACTTGAGACCCACCTCACACATTGCACCTTAGCTAACTATTGACCCCAAATGCCATAGATCATGCTAATTCACTGTTTCCAAATAGTTAAGGCATAACTTTTCTTTTTAAGGACAAAGTCACACAGCCCAGAGTTTCAGAACTGTTCGTTGACCACTAAGAACCAGTATCACATAATTTAATTAAAGCTGTGAATCACTACTTCTTCAATCATTAGATGAGACTCACAAAGTACCACCACTAAGATATCTATTGCATGCTAGTTTTTTTCTTTTTAGATATTTTGGTGTATTTCTTTACAATTACAAATGTTTTAAGGTCCTCCTCTTTTGGTCTGTCAGGAATGGTGATAGTTAAGGATTCCAATTCTGTCATCTGTGTTGTTTTATCAAGTCAAAGCTTTAGTCCCCGTTAAGTGTAGAGAAGAGAGAAAAAATCTGTGGTGACAGTCTGTGAGCCAGTGCTGTAACTTCCTAGTGCTCTGTAGCTGTTGGAGGTGTAATCATGTCTGCTACAATTCAGTTTTTAGTGCTATAAATGAAAGTAACACACTTCTTTCAGTAAGGGCTGCAAAGGAATCTGTTCAATTGAATCTAGATAGCCATTAAGGAGTCTCTGTAAAGAGCTTAAGGGGCTTCTGCCAAAAAGGTTAAGTAACAATAAACACTGAGCAAAGAGAATCAGTCTGTAACCCAGAACACTGGGGTGTTTGAAGGCACAAACTCTTTCTGACCCTCCTTCCACTTGCTTGTCTCTCAGTCTCTGTTCTGCAGTGAAAGAATCTCGAAGGTCTCCATGAGCACTGCTTCCACCTGGCTCCTCTGAAAATGTGCAGGGGGACTGTCATCACTATTGGGTGTCAGTGTTGTTTCAGGAGATGTGTGACCTCTTCCTTCCTGCCTATTCCTTCTTTATGTTCTTGTTCTTACTCCAGCATTTTTTCCCCTGCCTCCTGTTTTCCTGGGTCTGTAGCTGTTCTGCTGTTCAATTTGCTTTCCAAGCACAATTCTGGCAGCATTGCTGAGCCCTGTGCTGGCCTCTGAAGTCCACAGTGACCTTGACTGCAGCAGGTGCTCCCCAGCTCTTCTCCCTGGAAACCACTGAGCTCCTCTCTGTGCTTCAGGCTTTGGTGAACCAGAAAAATAGGAGCTGTCTTCCCCAATGTCTTTTAGCACTGTCTTGTTCTCTTATCAGAATGAAGAACTTGTAAGTATTTAAATACATCTCTCCCACTTAATCAACTCCTTTTCAACAGCAGGAAGGGTTGCAGCACTGTTGTGTTTTCTGTTTGTCTCAGAAACCTTGGTGATTTTATGTTGCTGCACATTACCCAGTTATCAAAATTGTTTATGAGTTGATATTCTGTTCTGCTTCTGGAATATTTCATGTGAGGGTTTAAATATCTTTCTCCTGCTCCCATAAATTTTTTGGCCATTATTTGATTAAAGACCCTTCAGGGAGAAAAAAAGAACTTAATTCAGTGATTCACTTTCACAAAATTAGGTACTCAAGAGTTTTCACTTGCTTTCTTTTTATTTAATGAGTTCTTAGTAGGTAGCTCTCTTGGTATCTTTCTTGTGGACTCACTTTTTTTTCTTTTATTGTATTTCTTATTATTTATTTTTCTTTTTGTGATTTTGTTTTGGACACTTTGGTGGCAAGAACAGAAAAAATATGAAAAACTCGATTTCCTGTTAATAAAAATTTGGCCCTAACCTGAAAGGTTTTGCTGCATTTTCATGAGTTACCTTTTTTTTTTCCCCCGTCTGACTAAATACAGAAATATGTTGATTCTGTGTGTAGATGGAATAATATCTGTTTTGGTTTAAAAGCAGCCTTAGATAAAAATAACCTGGCATTGGATAGTTTTCCCTGACATCAGGCTGTGATTTACATTGCTTTAAACTTGTAGACTTTGAGTACTGAGAATGAAATATCACTCTTATTTCAAGACACAAGGGTGCCCCCCATAACTCTTATTCTGGGGTATGTTCCTTTGTTTTACAAACAATATTTGATGTTCAGATCTGAAAATGAAGTACTCAATTTAACTGAATATGTTTTAGCTTCTTTCATGAAACCATGAAAGGTGGTTGAAAATGAAATATTTGATAATTATAAGTGGGTGAAACTGATGATGATTCATATGCTCTTGCTTTTACATAACTGCTAAGGTTTAGATAGCAGAAGGCTTTCATGAGGGTATGAAAAAAAATCAACATTGGAAACCATTGCAAGTCTGTTACAATTCAAGAGACTTCGGTTAAAGAGGTTTCTCTTTGTTTTGGATTTTTTCAGCCATTCCCCTAGGGATCATAGTTGTACGAGGAGATTGTGACTTGGAGACTTGTCGTATGTACATTGACCGTCTGCAAGAGGTGAGGTTTTTGTGAATTCAGGTATTCACAAACCTATTTTATGGTTCATTCTGTTCTGAGTGCAGGGGTCTAATAGTTGCAACAAATATGTATCAAGAGTATTGCAATTTGCCTGCCATTGAAACCAAAATTCTAGAATTAAGATATGATAATAAAAGTACTGAAAAATATTCCCTAAACAGGAAATTAAAAATCATACTGATTCCTTTTAAATTGTAACAGAATTGAAGTGGATGGGTGTGTTTACTTCTCCTTGATTTATAAAGAGTACTAGGACTTTCCATATACCTTGTTGAAATTACATAAATTATGGATTAGAAAGTATGTTATGCAAGGATAAACACTGTGGTATTTGAGTGGGTCTAATTATGCAAATGTAGTTCTCTAATAATGGAGTAATATGAGACACCACTAAACACAGCAAATATCAACTAGATATTTTCAAAGACAGAGAAATGGGTGTTCACACAGCTAACAATGGTTTTGCTCTTGTTCTTGAACACCTTGCCTCATGAGAGTTCATTCTACAATACACCCTGGGAAATGCAGACTCCAAATGCCTCATTACCTGAATCATTTTAAGTGTGAGCCCCTTTAGTGATAAAACTAATGGATTTTTATTAATGTATTGTCTGATTTTTTCAATCTCTTAGTGATAGCTTTCAAAAACATTTACAAGTTTGATGACATTACATTTATAAACAATTTGTTTATTTGTTTATAAACGGTTGATCTAGTTTGTGCAGGAACTATGAAGCTCATCCCTTCCATTGAACTCTTTGAGAGACATTGCCTTCCAATAGATTTTGGAACTCCACACTGGCAGTCTCAATAAGAAACTTAGTATCTCACTTTAGGCTTTCACTTTGCATTTCAGCCAGGATTCCTTTTATCAAATGCATTTCATTCAGACCTGGAGTGTGACTATAATTATCAGACATAATTGTAAGGTGGTGCATATTTGAAGTATCCAGTACAGAAAATTACAGTGAAATACTAATGATGATGACCTCATCAGATTAAAAATGTGATCTTACACTGAGTTCAGGCAGTTTTAGGTACAACCCCTGAAGGAAGCACAGTTAGATATTTTGGTTGAATTACCCATAGTGGTTGTGGAAGAACTGTGTATCTCCAACCTTTTGCAGGGTTTGTACTAATTTTTGCATGTGTGCTTGATTTGGCTCAGTCCCATTTGCTGGGAGTAGAGATGCCAAGGTTGGCTGAGCTCTGCCAATTTCCATGCTTCTGGAGGGCAACAGTCTGCAGGCCAGGCTCTTTAGTAGACTATGTCAAGTGCTATAAGTATTTGACAAAATCTCTATTAAAATAAAATAGATGCCTGAACCCTGCTAAATGTCAGGATCATTCTGATATGACCTTCTTGGAGTGAGGTTGTCTTGAAATAGAGAGAACTGTTAGTGATTTTCTTAAGTGCATTAATCACTCAGAAATATTTGCAAAAGTGTCTTAAAGATTTTTGACATATTTTCATTAATTTTGTGGCTGACATTGTAAATTTAGACAATTCTCTTGGAACAAATAAATTTTTTAACATGATAAGATACATTTGTGTAATCTCCTTTTTTTGAAACTATTTTTTTTGGCCAAATACATACAAATCTGAACTTTGAGTGAGAGCATTCCTTGATTTTTCTGTGGAGTTTGTTTCAAATGCTTAAAACCAGTGAAAAATACTTGCAAAATTATTTGTGTTTGCCCAACCACTTCAGATAGTAGAACTACAAACAGCTCTTGTTGCTGTAATCTTTTTCATCATTGCCATGTCTTTCATTTTCCTGCTAGGACCTACAGTCAGTAACCTCTACTACACAAAGAGTTCATTACCAGGTAAGATAAGCTTTCCTTTTAGTATCAGAACAGAAAGAGGCTTAAAAATGGGAATGACACTCTTTGCATTTGAACCCATATGTTAGATGAATTTCTAATTATCTGATTATTTGTTTTACCCTTAAATATTGGAAGCAAGTTCTGCTTTCTCTTGAACAAGTTTTATGGAATCACCTTTAAAATGAGCAAAGCTTGATGGTGCTTGTTATATTGCAATAGCAGTATTTTCCACATTTAAATGAATGAGAAAATGTGTCCTGTAGGACAAATGACAAAAGTAAAATTGTTTCTCTGTCTGAGAAACTGAACAATGACATGTTGTATTGCATAGCTGTTGTAGCAAAGTCTATCACTGAGGAAAAAAGGTGTTTTAGCAGGCCCAGCCTCTTAATAATTCTGTACAGGACAGCCATCTACCTTGACTTTACATAATCCTCAAGGTAATTTTTTAGTCCATCCTAAGCACATGTGTGTTTTCTTCATGAGATAAATAGGTTTTAATTTAGGTGGATAGTTCTTAAAATTATCTCTTTGTGTTTTGCAACTTTATTCTACAATTATGCAATACAGAACTTGTCTTTTCTGTTGGAAGTATTATTCAAGAATGCATATTTCTCTCAGTAAAATAATTCATTGTCGAGTGCTTAAATTGGAAGTAAACTGAGTGAGACTAACTCTACTGACTCCTGAAATTATCTGATGTTAGCATGGAGATTTGGCACAGACCATGGTCAGTTGCCATAGTGCTTAGGATCACAGGACAAGTTTGCATGGTACTGATAGCATCTTCCTAGAAATAACAATGCAAGTCTTGTTGCATCAGCAGGAATGAGTTCACTGGGAAGCATATAGAGAGCCAGCCTAGAGGAAGCAATTGTGGTAAAATTGCAGATAATTTCTTTGGGGTTAATGATTACTTGAGGAATGCAGAATTCCAGTTTCATGAGAATGCCTGTAGATGCTCTGACTGTAGGCACTATAAGCAAATGCAATTTGGCATGTTTTCCTGGACTTGCCTTCTTTATATCAGTTGATGGTTTATTTCTTTGTTTCCTTACCCAATGCTAACTTCATATTCTTGACATTTCCATCAATCATTGCCCTGGAACGGGGTTTTAGAACAGTGTTAGTGTCTAGCAAATTGACTAATAAACCAGCACGTATGATTCTGTTCCACTCATTATAAATTAACCTAAGTGGCTGCTGACTGCTCCATGTGTAGAAAACTGCCTGAGGTAAAATGAAGAACAAAATCTGTGTAATGGGGAGATGTACAAGAGAGTATGAAATGTCAGAAATCAGCTCCATGCTTGGCTCTAACCTCTGCAGTTACAGCAGCATATAAATTTGTTGCCTACCCATTTTCTCTAGTGCACAGCAGTGTGAAATCCCTAACATACCATTCATTTTTTATGATTCTACATTTTAAATGCACCCTCTCTGTGTTTTGTATTTGGTACTTGTTTGTCTAGTAACCTTTTTTTTTTTTTTTTCTGAGTGGTTCATTTCTGCAAATTGTCTCATTAGGTTAATTTGAGATTTATTCCATATTTGTTGGTATCCCTCTACATATTACAGAAATGGGAAAAAGAGGAGGATAAAGGGCATGAATAGGGTGCTTCAGCTGATTGAACTGTCTTCAGACCTCACTAATAAAGTGTCATGGGTACTTTTAAATATCATAAATGCAATTCTCTTGTGTGATTCCTCTGCAATTCAAAACATAGGCAGTCAGCAGAAATATTAGCAAACCAAGGTGCAAATGAGAAAAAATATACTGGAATGTTTTCTCATTCTGTTTTGTTTCTCTAATGAGTTTAATGCTCACAAAATATCATTCTCATGGACCTGAAACTTTGAAAGCTAGTTCTGTAGTTGAACTGTAATGAAGTGTTGGAGGGAGTATGTCACAATGTGCAATTTGTGACTCAAGTTGACATTTACCAGCAGTATTCCTACCTTCGTTTTGTCAGCATTTTGTACTATATGAATTTTACTGATTTCTCCTCTTTTTATAAACTGCATTTTAGTACGCACCATTGGATGTTTTCTTCCTTTTCTCCTTTGTGTTGCAGTCCCCTTCATTCGACACAGGTGGACTAATTATTAAGATACATAAAGCTTTGTGCATGTAGACACAATGCCAGCAAGCCTAGCAGGTTTCAGAGATCCTTGATTTTCTGACAAACACTCCAGTGGCAATACAATCAGACCTAAAATCCCACAAGTCTGTTTGCCCGTATCAGACAAAGTTGTATTTTAAATCTGATTCTATTAAATCCCTGAGATGTGTTATTTGCTCCTCATGTACAGTTAAGTTCACTTAATGGGATGTTTTGCTGTCATTATCTCCATCTCTGTGATGCACAGAGGCTGGATACCACAAGCTGTATATGAGAATAAGGTTTATAGTATCAGGTGAAATCCTTCCTGTTGCTTTTACTTTTTCTTTTCCTGCCATCTGACTTGATATACTACTCTGTGGTCTGTTGTCTGAAAGAGGAGTAAAGTTTAATCTTGAGCCAACATGTACCTGAATTTACAACATTTACAGCAGATTGTACTGCTTAAGATGTGAATAATGTTAGAATCTATACAAATTGTGTGTGCCAAAGATCCATGCCACTCTGTTTTGCCCTGTGCAAATATGTTTGTGTTTAAATGTTATATGCAGCAGGTTTAGGAATCTGGCTGACCATTCACTGGCAGCATGAAGCAGGGCCGTTATCATCCTCTGCTCTCTTAGATCCCTTTTGATCCCTTTTACCTCCCAGCCGGAGCTAAAAACACGTGGGGTAGCCTGTTTGAGTCTTTGATAAGTACAGATCAGGAAGAAAATTTTAATTGCTCCCCAGTAATTTAATTTGGTTCCTGGGTTATATAGATTTTGCACATTGTGCAATGTCAGTAAAGCAAAATGAAAAAGTCAAAGTCTAGAAAATAGTCCTTTTCATCAGAGAAGAAACAGTTTGCTGGGTTTCTTTAATAACATAATTTTCATGTCCTATCCAGGACCAGGAAAGCTCTTTCCCCAGAGTACTTTCTGTTCAGAGGCTCTCTCCTAGATGGTGCTTCCTAGATGGTAAGTGCATCTCCCTTCTGCTGTGCCCAGCATGCTGCCTGCTTCTGGTGTGCCTGTGGAGGATAGTTCTTAGTGTAATACTAGAGAACGGTACCTGTTCCTTCTTGTTACACTGAGCAGGTAAAAAAGGAGCTGAGTGCCCCCTTTTCCCCTCTAAAAAATTAAACAGGCCCTTCATCTAACAATCAAAGTGTGTCCTGTGGCTTTTTCATGCCACAGAGAGGCGTTCCCCTGAGGCAGGTTAGAAGCTTGGTTTATCAGTGCCGCTGCTGTGAAGAGCAGACTTTATTGCATGCACTGCCCGAGCTGAGAATACAGCCAGTTGTGGCAATTCACTGCTTGGTGTAAGGCTGAGTTCTTCACCCTGGTTTCTCTGCAGGTGTTGTAGTCTTTGGGCACTGCAGTGTTTAGGTGACAGAAATGTACCTCCCTTTCCATGTAACTCTGTGCTGGAGAGCTGCACTTGTATTTGACCCAGACTTTGTCAAAGCAGATGACTTATCTTGGCCTTACATCAGGTTCCACAGCACTGGAATTAGCAGCTGAAATGGAGGGCATCTGCTTTTATAAAAGCTTCAGCATAGGAGGTTAAATTTTTAATGCCCAAAACAAAACCAAGTTTTCCTTGGCAATTTCTAATCACTATTCCTTGTCTCTCATGAGGGACATTGATAAAAGCCATACTGAGAATCTGTTTGGTTTTTGGAGAAAGCTGGATGGGTAGATGTGTTCAGTTTTTGTCTTTAGTATTTGATATTCCTTTGAAGTGCCAAAACCTACAATGCTACATCACTGTGCTCTTGTGTCCTAAGTGCAGAGTGAATGAACCTGATTTCACTCACCCAAATAACTGCAAAGCAGATACAAAAAAATCACATCTGGTGAAGCACATTGTAGATGATAAATACTTTTGGGGTTAGTAATATAAATTATTTGGCAATGACAGGATTCATTATATGTGGTTTATTTTGTGAATCCCCCCATTTTCATGTGTTTTTCATGAGTAGCATAAATTTCCCTTGAACATACTGGTAATTCAGAGTCAATATCTGTGGCCGAGCATTTGATTTATAAAGAGCTCCTAATTATATTATTCTTCTTTAGATTCAGAATTTGAATTAATCCCATTAGACCCATCAAATTCAGTAATACTTGCTATACTCTCATTGGAACAAAGCAGCTTTTTCTGTCACATATTTTAATGTAATCAATTCTTCTTATAAGACTGAAATCCATTTTATACATTTTAAAAATATTTGTTTTAAGTTAATATTTTTAGTGACTGCTGTTTCATTAAGCCTTATATTTAAATTCAGCATTTAATGGGTTATGAATATTGCAGAATCATAGAATGTTAAGAGTTGAAGGGACCTTAAAGATCATCTAGGCCCAACCTGCCTGCTATGGGCAGGGACGCTTCTCATTAGACCAGGCTGCTCAAGGCCTTACCCAGCCTGACCTTGAACACTGCCAGGGTTAGGGCATTCACAAGTTCCCTGGGCAACCTGTTCAACTATCTTACCTCTCTCACAGTTATTTCTTCCTAACATCCAGTCTGAATTTCCCCTTTTTTCAGTTTGTACCCTTGCTCCTTGTCCTGTCACCAGAGTTCATGATGAAGAGTCTGTCTTCAGCCTCCCTGTAGACCTCTTCAGATGCTGGAAAGTTGCTTTGAAGTCTCCGTGCAACCTTCTCTTCTCCAGGCTGAATAGCCCCAAATTTCTCAGCCTGTCTTTGTAAGGGAGGTGCTCCAGTCCCCATATCAACTTCACAGCCCTCCTCTGGACTTACTCTGGCAGTTCCAGGTCCTTCTTTTGCTGGGGGCAGCAGAACTGTACACAGCGCTCCAGGCAGGGTCTCATAAGAGCAGGGTAGATGCAGAGAATCCCTTCCCTTGGCCACTTTCCATTTTACTGACGCCCAGGATATGGCTGGCTTTCTGGGCTAAAAGCTCACCCAGCTGGCTCATACTGAGTTTTTCAGCAGCCATCACCCCCAAGTCCCTCTCCGTAGGGCCGCTCTCAATCACTTCTCCGCCCAGCCTGTAGGTGTGCTGGGACTGCCATGGCTCCTATGTAGGATCTTGCACTTTGCTGAACTCCATGGGGTTTACACTGGCCCACCTCTCAAGCATGCCATGGTCCCCCTGGCTGGTGTCCCTTTTCTCCAGTGTGTTCACTGCTCCACCAAGGCTGGTGTGAGCAGGAAACTTGCTGAGGGCATGCTCGATTCCATTCTCTGTGCCACTGACAAAGATGCTGGTCACAGTACTGACCCAAGATACCCCACTCATATAGCAATTAACTTATGTTCTTGTGGAGCCACTGTGACTTCCCTGACACAGGGGTTATTTTGGGACCCAGTGATGTTAGTGCAGCCCAGCTTGTCCATGCAGTCCTGCTCTGACTATTTTCTGCTGCTTTTTCTCTGTCTTGCAGCAACTTCTGCTGATCGTTTTTACCGCATTGACAGATCTCAGGTAAATTCCTATTTGTTTTTTGTTCCTATAGATTTATTTTTTTAAGGCTACATCAGATGCAGCTTAAAATGAATTATCTGCCATTCTTCCTGTCTGTTGCAAAAGGTTGCTCATGACGTCTCATGACAAGTGGAGAAAAAAATTTTGGGCTGTTTTTTAGTTAATCTAATTCATGTTGTTTCACTGAAGTCTTGTATCTGCTGACCATTCTGTTTACTACCAATCTGGTACAGATCAGAATTTTCTGCAATTTTTTTCTTTATCAAGTCTTACTAGGGGCATCTGTGTGGCACCAATGTATTTGTATTTATCTTTTCAATGTTGCTTTTAGGCATCAGAAGCCTTGATCCTGTGTGTGTATATGTGTATGCCATGAAATAGCTATGGAAATTAAGATGTTGTTACAATTTGAGAATTATGAACAGAGATGCACAAAACAGTCACAAGGAACCCCAAAAAAGTGTCTATCTCTGCTGGATTCAAACCTGTGGCGTAGATCTGACAATCTGAATATATTTTTTAAAAGACACTGAAAATTTTACAAGGCTTTTGGTGTTTCTGATTTGTAGCCAGAACATGCCAATTAGTTGCTCAGCGTTAAGTGCAAATTGTTGATTTCACACTCTGGTTGTTTGTATCTGGTCCCCCTGAGAGCTGCGTAAGCTGTTTCTGAATCACATGAACATGTTACAGTTTCTTAGCAAAAGCAGCTGGTGCTTTAGCTCAAGCAGAGGGAGCTGTGACTTAGTTCAGAGTTCCCCTGTTCAGTGTCTGCATGTAGACACTGTGGGACTTTTCACACAGTCAAACAAATGGTTTGATGTTGTAATCTAACATTGGGAAGGCAGGGGTGAAGAAGATGCTGCTACAGATTAAAGTGGGCAGTTTGACTCTGTTTGGCTTATTCTGCATTTCTCCAATCCTTGATGCTGTACTAATGGTCATTTTTAATGCCTACTCCTTCATCCAGTGATTCTGTGGGGAAAAAAATTAAATACTGTGTGTTGGTCCCAGTGCACAAACAGTGGCAGATTTCCTACCCATTTCACTACATAGACAGGCATACTCACACTCAGTGGTTTTTTTTGAAAAACAATAAGCATTCAGTGTCAATAACAAAATAAAGGATTGAGAAAGAGAGCTTTGGTAATGGAGATGTGAAAACAGAATGTACAACTGGTGGAGATCTGGAAGTGAAAAGTTCTGTCAACCATCATCAAAGAAGAGACTTCAGGTGTTGGTCTTCATTTCAAAAAGCAAACCTCAGCTTTATGGGTTCATAAAGCTCCAGGTTTCATCAGAATGGCATAGTCATTGAGGAACAGCCTTTAAAATATTGCTGAGAATGTGCAGCTTGCTCATGGGGAATCTTGTTTGGCTTGAAATCAATGGCAAATAAATTGGTGACTTCTGCGGCGTTGGTTTTAATGTGTGTGTATGTATGAGCACACACTTCAATACAAAGTCCCTTGAATATTCTTCAGGGAACCTGACATGCACTCAACTCATTCTAGGGCAGCAGGGTACTTTGAGGGACCAGTGCTGGAGCAGGTTCATTATTTGTTGCTTGTGTCACTCCAACAGGAACATTTGCACTTTGTGACGGAAATTTCGCAGGACGAGATTTTTATTCTGGACCCAGAGATGGTAATGTCTCAGCAGGTGGGAACACCACCAGGAATGCCTGACCTGGTAGTGGAGCAGGCAACTGGGTGAGTGCTGCTGGAATCTGGTTTTCATCAGGTGTATTAGAGATGGACATCTCTTTCTTGGCCCCCTTTTCTGAAGGTTTAGGAGTTGTGGGAGGGCGGGTATTCAGTAGGAACAAATCCAGCTGTGGTAATGACAGGAGAACAGTAGTGTAACATCTACTCCATTAGGCTTCCTGGAACACACAGCAGGACTAGTGGACTTCAGCACCTTTTAACCACCTCACACCACCTGACCCTAAATCCTGCCATAAATCTCTAATGATTGAGTTACAAACTTCTCTGCATGGTCAGAATTCTGATCCCACTGTGTAAAGCCCTGAAGCCCTTTGTGCCTAAGAATGATCATGACGTGTCTCTGTTTCTAATCATCCTCTTGACAGACCAGAAATGCTTCTATTGTTCTTTAGGAAGAGCACTCATAGTGAATTAATCTATTTTAACTTGCTATGGGCTGAAAAATGCTGGGAACCAATAAACATAAGACAGCTTCCAAGTGGAGCACACAAGGGGTATGAATGCCTTTCTCTTCCTCCTTCTCTCCTTAGAATATCGGAGAGGTGGAACCCTGCGGTTCGGAAGAGGATGCTGAGTGACAGCGGCCTTGGAAAGATTTCTCCCCACTACGAGGTACCTGACAAACAAAAGGACGCCAGCCAGACACATATGCTGCAGTAAGAGCCCTCTGCATTTATCTGCTTGATGATGCACTGTCCCTGTCACCACAGACAACTCCTAATATCTCCTTTAAGCTTAATGAATTGTGCTGATATGCTGAAATTACAAATACTTTTTGCTATTTCTCTTTTGCTTCTCCCTTCTGTTCTTCCTCTTTGTCCATTATTTTATGTGCTTGTCTTTGTTTTGTTCTCTATGCACCCTCTCCTTTTAATAAACCTAAATCCAAGTTTTTGAAAGAAAATACCTTATTTTTGATGTCCGAAGTTCCTGAAAATCTTCTTGGCAACTGTTTTGGTGAAAGGTCAGAGCATTCACCCTCAAGGTAGTTCTGATGCAATGTGATAAAGCATAACTGCTGCTTGCTGTCAAAGGTGTAGGCAAAGGTTTTCATATCTTGAACCATGTAGGATGGCTGTACAGTGGTTTTCTTTTTGATAATTTCCCCATAAAAGAAATTTTTGCCTTAGTACTATCTACTATGTTCAGATTGATTTAAAAATACCTCTTATTCTGCTTACCTATGTTAGAAATTGTTCTCAACTTTTTGGTTATTTCACTTTAGATTTTCAAAACTGCCAGTGGATCACTTCTAAAGATTAGATGGGAAATGTCTGTCAAAACTCTGTTCCTGGCTTTGAAAGTTATTTGTGATTTGGTGTCATATTCCCCCCTTTCCCCAATAATTATGTTATGTATAATTGTGTTTGTAGTTCTACTGTATCAGCAACCCTATAGGCAGCTTTTAAGACATAGTATGGAAAAATTAGGATTAGTGTCAATGTGGCCTTTTTTCAGATTTTTTTTTTTTCCTGTCAGGATGTGTGTGGGAGAGGGCTACAAGGTACAGGGCAGGCAGAGCCTACAGCTCTAGGACAGGTGCAGTGGGGATGGCAGGCTGTCTAGCCATGTGGCTACCAATTGGAAACTTTCCAGCTAACTGAAAACTGCTGTCGGGAGGAGATGTCATGGCAAGAAGGGGTGATCAAGGTAGCACTGCCAGGAGAAAATTGCCTGGTTTCCTCCCTGAGGGATTCTGGATTAGTTCTTGATATCCTTTGCAAAGTGAAAAATGGTGAACTTAGGTTCATTTTTCCATAGACTGGAATGGAAGGGCCCAAAATCTGAAGCTGGCAAAGCTGTGAGAAAAATAATGCTTAGACAGTTTTAGGCACTGTGGAGAAATGGTGAGAACATGTGGACTGATTTCTTATTGATAAGAAGAATGATTTTGTTTACATCAGCATGACTGGAAATGTTTGCTTAGCTGCAACAATTACATTTGGTGGATTTATTAAGCACAAAATAAGCTACTAGCATGGCTCAGAGTAAAGTGTCCCTGGCACAGCCTACTATGAGGAATTGTTTACTTTACAAGTTCTCTAAACTTAAATTGTTTTGTCTGAAATTTTTCATGCTAAGACTCAGTCTATGACTGATTATTTTTCTTTTAGTAAAAACTTTAACAAAAAAAGCCAGTTCTTTCTGAAGACAAGATTTGTGAGAAATGTGCTCTTTTAAATGACCTTCCTTCAAATAAATAAATCCACTGGTTCTTTCCTGAGATGTGTATGGGCTGGTAGTGGAATGAAACTCATTGGAATGGAATTTTGGAAGCTTGACATTTAGTAAAATGTCATCATAATACCAGAGAGATGCCTTTTGCCTAGAAAATTACCCCAAAATTTGCCCTGCTGATGAGGTTGTTTGTGCACTTTGGAGACACCTCAGATTCAAGAGCTTTGCTTTCAAAAGTTTCTGTCTGTACATGCTCACAGAGGAGTTATGCTTCTCTGTGCTTAATTCAGGCTGCAGATCTGCCTGCAGGGCTGAGGGAAGTGGGACTGTGCTGCTCATTAGCTGTTCTCCAGCAGCAAGGAGAAAAGGGATGCATCAGTCATGTTCAGATGGAGAGGGTCAGGAGAAGGTGTATGAAGGAACAAGGAAAAGAGGTTGCAAGAGCCAAAGGAGTAGAAGCACAGATGGAGCATGTGCAGGGCTTGGGGAACAGGGTTAAAGGAAGGGAGCTGTTCAGGGTACAGAGGATAACCAGGTGTCTGGGGAGTCAGAATGGGAAAAGGAGGAGGGCATGGAGTACAGATAGGTAAGGGATGAGCGAGACAGGCTAGGGGCATAGGGGAAGGGTCTCTGTCTGTTTCTCTCCAGAATACAGAATTCTGACTTTAATCAGGTTATTACACAGGTGGACAAGCTCTGAAATATGTTTAGACACTGCTTCACTTGCTGCCAAGGTGGAAGGTGTATGGTAAATGAGTCAGGGGACCTCAGTGGAGGCAGCAAGGTATTATTAAATTTTAGACAACTGAATGATGCCCTGTTGGACTGGCTTCTCTTTTCAGCATCTGTGACAGAATTTCTGAAAGGTGAAGATTTTACAACAAACTTTTCTCAAGTGGCCGGTTAACCATGGGCTGCTCATTCTGTGCATGTCCACTGTGAAGTAGGTTTGGCTACTGGGGGGCCACTACAAGGAGATTTTGAAAGAGTGTGGAGGGCTGGAAACTGAGAAATAGGATTTCTGTTGCCTCAGGTTGTATGACTAAAATGAATGGAAATTTTCTGCCTGCTTTCCCAGCTGCAGAATACAGATAATATTGCAACCTCACCTTAAAGGAGCACAGTGAGGGTAAATTTCATGGTCTTGAGAAACCTGGATACTATGGGGAGACTCTGTCAGAGATGCTTAGCAGGACATGAATCATTTTGCATTCTGTGCACAGTTTTGGCAGTGTGGAAGAAATAAATCTTGAGGCTGTGTAGTGCATATACAGGAGGATAGCAAGAAGATTTTCACTTAAACTCTGAGGCAAGAGTCCAGTAGAAGAAAATAGAAAGTGGCAATGTGACTAAAAGTTTTCATAACATTTGAGTGCAACAGGGTTGCAGTATGATGAGCTTCTGGATGTTTGACTTAGCAATCTAAAAAAAATATCTCTTTAACATAGTGCTTGAAAGAAAAAAATTAGTACTTTAGAAAGCATTATTATATTTTGGCAGCTGAAGTTGCTCACAGGTTCTTTGCAGAGATTTGTCCCTTCAGAAATTATTTTTCAATTAAAACTTGAGAAAAGGATTTCAGCAAAATTCCTAAACAGGGATATGGCAGAGAACAGAGCAGTCAATTCTTCCTGTACACAGAGTTCTCATGGGTCTTCTAAGAGTCATCAGCATCCAACATGTTTATCCAGTCAGAAATATTGTACAGCTCAAAATGTGTTATCCTATAGCCTAGGGCAAATGACAGGGGACTTGGTGTGAGAGAAAGGGTCATAGATGACACACTGGAAGTGCTTTCTCAGTGGTCATTTTTTCTCCTAAACAAGGTATGACAAACAGCTGGTCATAATATAGCTTCAGGATGCTTAGAGTGTGTCTGTCATCACTATATATACACATATAAATGTGTGTAATTGCATATATATATATATATATATACTCACATATACTCGCATTTATATAAAACTTCTTTAAGATAAATTATTTCTGACAAGTGAGGAATGTAGCTTAAAATTCGAAGGTGAATGATCCCTTATATTATTTCAATAAATGAAAGCAGAGAGCAGAATACCTGATCTAAAAATAATTCTAATGTTAGGCGTTGCTTTTGATCACTAGCTTGTTTGGTTAAAGCATAGTATGAATATAATGATTTTGAGGCAGGGGTCTTTCTGAGAGAAAAATTATGCTTTTGTTTTTCATTAACTGAATTAATGTTATTTTTAGGTAGATGTTGGTTAATAGTATTTAATGTTTTTTCCTTATTTGATAGCTCTTTGATCTGTGATGGATTGGACAGGACATGAAACAGTGTCTTGATGCAGTAACCATGAGCTGGGGCAGATTGTAGTTTAATAGGAGCATCAATTTAAAAAAAAAAACCCACATTGGGAAGACAATTTACTAGGACTAGAGGTGCTTGATCTTGAAAAAAGATAAATATTCTGGTCTGACTGCACTGATACAGGAAATTAGACCCTTCCTTTGTACATGAGTGGTTTCATCCTATGATTAAATGCTGCAGTGAGATGCAGAAGACCTTACAACCTGCTGTGTGTTTGTTGTTGGCCATATATTTCTCTTCTTCATTGTTTGTCACCCTGTTATATGACGAGAGCTGGAAAATTCGATAAAATAAAAACCCCAACATCATACAGAGATGAAAAGGTGACTGTATCTTGGTAGAGGTTTAATCTACATCTTTTAATTGAAGTAATTAATTTTTCCCACCATTCGGGGCAGTAACCAGCTCTTTTCTAGCATCTGTCCAGCTGTGATGGTAATGTGTTTCCCAAGCTGCTGGCTGCATTTTCTGAATCAAGTGCATGGCTTATGAAGGGTGGGCGAAGGTTGGCCAGGATACCATCTGGTCTTGTTAGGGAGAGGAAGAAAAAAATGCCTGTAGGTGCTGGAAGATGGCTGCAGCCCTTTCCACTAAATAGACATTAATTAGCTAGTAATACCATCCAGGCATTGCTTTATGAAGCTATAATAACCTAGTTTCTCAGAGGGAAGAAGAAAAAGGCTAAATGCCAAGTGTTTCACTCAGCCGCAAGAATCTGATCATTGCCCAGGAAATCAGTGTGACAACACAGATGTTGCAAGGTGGTTTAGGGTATTTTTTAAAGAGAAATCTTCATGTCTTACAAGATGAGATAAGCATCAGGGGTACAAATTTGCATGTTAAAGGAGAAAGAATGCTAATTTAGTGGAAGTTTAGAAAATATAAAGATTCAGAACATGCAAGGCAAGGATTGCCTGATGACAGTGAATCTTTAAAATTTCAAAGGTTGGTAAGGACTTGAAAAATCCAAAGGTTTGCCTGAGAAATAGTGTATTGGAAAACTCAGCATCAGCTCCTCCATAGGCAGAGTTGTCTACCCTGGTGTTTTTGATAGCAAAATCTGAATTAATTTGCAGGTTCAGATTTAGTTCAAGCTGCCTTTATAAAATTATACTAGAAGAGTGAAGTGTGTAT